ACATGGCCTTGCTTTTACACCTTTCCATTGTGCCTGCTATTGGTAACTGTCAGAGCCAGCATACAAGCCTAAACAAGGTTTTGTTTTGTTTTTTTTTTTTTTTTCCAATTATATTAATTTGGTGTGCCTATATTGAGAGTTCAGTCCAAATCAAGGCAAGGCTTGATGGCAACCTATGCAAACATTTCTTTCCCTTCAGTCTTATCAGCAGACCAGCTAAAAACCTGTAACAGAACCCCTCGTGTTTGTGGTCTGCCCCTAGAGCTCTTCCACTCCTGAGCTTCTGACACAGGTAGCCCCTGCGCAGCTGGAAGGTTCCAGCTCAGGACAACAGCACATACGCCAACCGCTCCTCCAGAGGACGGCGCTCAAGGGCATTTTTCACATAAAGCATTAACAGGTATCTTGAAGGGAAGAAAGCTTCCATGAATTGGGGCCAAATAAAACAGCCATGTTTTGAAACAGAATGGCCAGGAGCAAGTAGATACGGGATGGATGGGTATTAAAATAGCTTCAGGATATTAATCCCCTCAGGACATTCATCCAATATATTTGATTTCCAAGTAATTAAAGCAGTATGCTGATGATCAAATTTGTACAAAGCAGTATTACAAATGCTAATGAGATTTATCAAAACCTAGCAAATTGGCAGAATTTCTTTTGAAGCTTGGAATATGAAATCCTAGTCAAGCTCACATATGGAAAAGACTGGGTTTGTCATTTAACAGAGCTCTCTTACTTTATGAGGGAAATAAGTGGTATTGCTAGTACTGGCTCAAGGTTTGCCATCTACACATAAACATTCTTTTGTTGTGAACAATGAAGGACTTGCAGTGAAAGTGCATGGCTGGGTCCCTAATTCCACAGTTACACAATCACTTTAAGGTAATGTAAATACAGCCTGCTGCTGGAGGGGATAATCTACGCTTCTTAGCAGCCTGGACACGTATTCCCAGCCAGCATGGTAACAGACCAGGGAACTGTCCTATTTCTGAATAAATGGGACTATGGAAAAAGTGGAGATAGACTTGTCCTTTGTGGTGGCAGCCCACAGCCTGGCTTAAAATTATAAAGGAATCACACATTTTCAAAAGAGACTAATATAAAATAAAATCCAGCTTACAACAGTCAGTTTTCCTATATAAAAATACTTGGTCTGAAATAAGTAGAATCCCACCAGAACATACTAACGACTCTCTGTAGCGCAGACTTTACACTGTTGAAGTGGCTCCTCAAATAAAATGCCCTCTGAACACGAGCAGAAGGTAGACTGATGCACAAGCAAGTGCACAGGTTGCTAAATGTAAAACTTGGGGAAGGGGGAAACTTGGGACATGGGGAATGAACAGGGATTTCAGTTATTCTGAAATCTGGTTAATATTTACCAAGAGAGAAGTAGCTTAGTGACCGGTGAGGTTGTCCTGGTTTTGGCTGGGATAGAACTAATTTTCTTCCTAGTAGCTGGTACAGTGCTGTGTTTTGGATTTAGTGTGAGAATAATGTTGATAACACACTGATGTTCTAGTTGTTGCTAATTAGCCTTAACTTATCCTAAGTTAGTTATCTTACATATCTTAAGTTAGTGATTTTTCAGTTTCCCGTGCTCTGCCAGAGAGGAGCTGTGCAAGAAGCCGTGAGGAGGCATGGCCCAGGACAGCTGCCCCGCACTAGCCAAAGGGATATTCCATACCACAGGACATCATGCTCAGTGTAGAAACTGGGGGGAGTTGGCCGGGAGGGGTGGGTCGCTGCGCGGGCATCAGTCAGTGGGTGGTGAGCAATTGCATTGTGCACCACTTGTCTTTTCTTGGGTTTTATTTCTCTTTCTCTTTTTTATTATATCCTTTTCCATTCCTATTATTATTATTGTTATTATATTTTAGTTTAGTTTAGTTATTAAACTCTTCTTATCTCTACCCACGAGTTTTGCTTTTCTTTACTCTCCTTCCCATTCCACCGGGAGGGGAGAGGACTGAGTGAGTGGCTGCTTGGTGCTTAGTTGCTGGCTAGGGTTAAACCATGACAGAGGTTAAAGCAACACCAGCAAAGGTCATACGGTATAATTGTAGTAGGTATTGCATATCTGAGCATTTTTGGCATCTCAGGGGATGTTTTTCTGATTCTGAAAACAGCCTTTGGGGTGCTTTTTGTGTTCCTGCCGCAACAGCACCACCTTCTCTAGTGCTCTGTCCCCAGCAGTAGAGAAGATTTTTCGGACGTAAATCCTGGCATAATACAGTAAGTCAAAGACTGCTGAGAGGTTTTCCCTGGTAAGAAATAAGTAGTCAGGAATCTAAAGCATGAGCATATTGTGCTAAACTTTCACTGTGTTAGACTTACAGCTGCTTTGACGTCACTTTCTAGTGTAACACAAGCAGAACCAAATCTAATAATTTTTACTTTGTGCTCAACACATAAAAAAGATGCACATGCTTTCTTGTTTGACTGAGCTGATCCTTCTTTATGAGTAATTTTCATACAGATTATTCTCTGCTTTCTTTGTGTATCAGATTTTCACTGACTTTGTCCCTTATTTCTTTTTAAGAATGACCTGAGGCTTGCTCCTCTCTTAGAAGTCTAGACCTCTGTATGACACCAAGACGCACAGTCCCACTGAAGAAGATGAGGACCAAGGACTTGGATTTGGCAAAAATAAGTGATAAATGTTCCTCAAAGAAGTGTCGCCTCTTACCAAAGTATTATTTTCTCAACTAAGTATTATTGGAACTGTTTGTGGAAGTCCATCAAAAAATATTGACACCATTACCCATGCTAGAAGCATGCTCCTAAGGGCCTGTTCATATACTAGTGATGATCAATTACTTCCCTACAGAATTACTCTCAACCACAAGCCATTTAAGTCAAAAAAAAGAACTGCTTACCATCCAAATCCAGCTGCTAACAGGAGCTATTTTCCTCCTTCATTAAGACGACTTGTGTCTGGGATAACCTCTACAGAGACCAGGAACAACCTGAATAAAAAGTCAAGGTCTCCTCCAAGGAGTGAGCAAACTGAACAGGTTGTTCTGATGAAAATACAAGCTGCTAGGAGCAGGTCTGATCCAAGCTTTTTGTGGCCGGTAGGTAAGAAAAGGAGTGGGAGTGCTGAAACTCTAGATGTGAAGAAAGGAGGTATGAAGGTAGCACAAAGCTGACAACGCTGTTTTCTACTTGTATTGACACCTTTCTGAAGATCACTGACTGAAAATGATTACTACAAAATCGAGGTTATATTGGCAGGAAGTTTTTCAAAGAACTGTTGTATCCACGTAAGGTCACAGAAGGCGTCTGTATTACAGTCATTAAAGCAACTTAAAACCTTACTGACTTCTTTGAATTTTAACTTATTCTATAACCTCATTCACATGATCATCAAAATAATGCTGTACCCTCACCTCTTGAACCTTGATTTGGCCCCTGTAATTGGTACATTCATTACCCTGGGCTCAGTTACTGTGTGTTTTTTATAGTAAAGCGAGTTTGCTGCCAGAATTGTGTAGACAGAAAATGCCACTGCACTGATTCCCAGTGTGAACAGAGTGATTCTATAGAAAAATACAAATGACACCTACTAAAAATGAAGCCTTAGAGGAAAAGGAAATCTGTTAAATCCATAGCCCTGGAATTTGACCACAGAATATTTTAAAGAACCTTGAATTTTACCCTCTTCAGGGTAAAATAACACAGCTTACTTATTTAATCTAGTTAGCCTAAAAATAATTGCTGCTGGGAGAAATAACTTTATGATACATCTTTTTTTTACATGAAAGACATATTAAAGTAATAAATATAGTATAACATTTTTAGGCAAGTATGGATGAGTAATTAATTCCTGCAGCTACTTGCCACTGGTTCTGTTCACTCTATTTTCGAAATTAGAAACCTGATATGGAAATGAAAAAATTACTTTGCAAAAGTCTTTTTCTCTTGCTGCTGATAACTTTATCTCTCACATGCTTTGATCAACAGAACATTAGGTAAAGGAGTTTAGAAGTCTCTTCCATACTATCAAAAATAGGAATAATATCACAATATAAAAATCAGCAGTTAGAGAACATGAATGACACCTGATAGAGGTGTCAGATACAAACTGTCTCTGTGCCAGTTTTCAGCATAATCCTGCCTGTAGCACTGAGATTTTGCCTTTGTGCCATGTTTGGAAGATGAACGTTTTATTCTTCTGGTTGCATTAAACTGAGACAATGAGAGATACACAGATTTATTTTTCAAGAGGATTCAGCCTGCCCAGCAGTCATTTAGCTGGAAATGCCACTGCTTTATGGCAGAGCTTCCTGGCTTACTTTGTACAGGCACTGTCATCACAAAAAGAGCTGGCACTGCACTGTGGCAGTGGCAGCAGCAGCTCCTGGCTGTGCGCGAGGCTGCACATGCACTGTAGGAAGGGATGTGATTCTAGCCCTAGGATTTCTCTGAATCCTCTGCTGGCCTCTGTACGCAAGCTGGAGGAGGAAGAGGTATTTTTGGTCACTGCCTCTCTCCTCTGGGATCATTCTGAAATTGCTCCCACCACACGCACCTTGCCTGCAGGATGCCTGCTTTAGGACTAAAAAATCACACAAAGATTTTTAATCCATAGATTTCAAAGCAAAGGCCAGTGAAAGCATCACTGCATACTTAATATCAGCTTTTTTGCACATGAGGAAAAAGAGAGATACAGAAAAGGCTAACGTCTTCAAAAGCGTTAGTGCCTCAGTCTCACTGAAATCAATCTAAGCTAGGAGCCTCACAAACTATGGACATCTGTGCTCAGGTGACTTAAATGGAAACTCTGCCCCACGCACTCTGAGCTCCATCCCACTTCACGAAGCCATATCTGTACGTCCAGCACACAGTGACTGTTGTTCGTGCAAACACAGTATATAGAAATCCATGATGTACTTTAACTTTTACTTTTAGCAGACTGAAACCTCCTTTAATGTTCAGAAATGTTTCCAGTTCTTCGAGAGAACCACTAGATGATTGCCAATGACAGAGTCTCATAAGGTTTTGAAAAGCAGACTTTATTTAGTAGGCACATCATTGCTTTAAAAGCACTGGGCTGCACAGCTCACTTCACCATTTGTAAATGGTTTTGCTTGATTACATTGCATTTCCTCAGTGTCAGTAGGATTCAAGTAAAAAAGTTACTGCTTTTACTTCTCTATCATTTCTCAAGATGGAAAAAAAAAACAGGAAACAACTAGCGCACAGGAGCATAATATAGACAGAACTGCCTGTGATCCAGTAGAAGTCAAGACAAACTGAAATTTGAGCACTGAACAGTTAAAGCTGCAAGACAACCACACTACATATGCTCAGATGGGATTTTGCAATACACAGGATAGAGATGAATGTTGCCCACTAATACAACAAGGGACTGGCTTTCTTATACTGAGAAACACAGACTGTCCAACACAGACAAGAATGAGGGTTTCAAAACAAAACAGCTCACATGAAATTAGCTTCCTTACTATTTCTTATTATAAAAGTTGTACTCCCTCAGCTGTAAAAGTTAAAGGCCTAAAAGAAAAGTACTGAATATAGAACTCTAAACCTGCAATTTAATCAGCTTTTCCCCGCTATATTACAATTCTTTGTGATAAGATAAAACCTTCTTTAAGAGACAAAAACATAGCATTCTGGATTATTTTCATAATCAAGTAGTTTACTTGGTTGATATATTTCTTCCCTAAAAAACTGCATTTTAATATTTTATTAAATTCCACCAGTAGAAGCATACAAAATCAGAAATCATTAGAGGAAAATAATATTGCTCTACGAAATAAAAAAGCATGACTTATAATGTAGTTTTATGAACATCGTAAAAGAAGCACATGTGGCATTGAAACATTCTGAAAATGGAGAAATATTTTGTGAGTTTCAACGTTCTTAGGTTTTACATTCTGTTTTCCAAATGAATATTACCAGAGTTAATATCTTGCAATTTTTTTTAATATATTTTCTAGCATTGTATTGGACAGACAACCTAAAACCAACAACGCAGAAATCTAGCGTGCCGCACACTTTAATATACACTAGTTACTTTAGTTACTAGCACTTTACACTGACAGTACCTACTGTATTTGTAAAACTCATTTTTAAATCAGCTTGTCAAAGCTTTTGAGAAGCAACCTGGGCAATAAGGTGGGTATTTTTAGTGTCTACCATGAATACGGGCAATTACAGAATCAGAGGTCGCTCTCTCCATACAGTGCTGATGAAAATGAGGTGTAATCCAGAGCCCCGGGAACAGAACCTGGGCCGGTGTACGGAGGCATTCTCTTAATGCAGTACTGAGCCTGCTCAGGAGGCAGCTCTCGACGTAACTCATCTGCCAGGATATAAGGCTGGGAGGGGGGGAAAGGATTGACAAATTCAGTATGTATTCTTCAGTGACACAAAACAGATTTATTTTCTGTAGCTGTGACTAATAAACTCTGAAATCCTGCCTATTTTTCCAAGACCAAACATTTCCCTTGGTAAATTCCATCCCTAATAATGAGTTGAAGGCGACAATCCTACCAACAAACTGATTAGGACAAAATCCAGCCTCAGGCTATGTGACTGTGTATGTTAGCTACCGAGCCCTGTGCAGCCATGGGTACACGGCTGCTGATACAGCTCACCTGTGGATAGCCAGTCAGCATCTCTGAAGTGCACTACTGCCCCTTCTGCAGTGAGAGGGCTGACACATTTTCAGTTAGATCCTGTTAGTTACAGGGTCTTAATATATTTGTAATGAAAGATGCATTGTTGTTTTTAATGGTTTCCATTTACGATATGAAGGATACCTTCTGTTATCAGACTTGACGTTATTTAAAATAGCAATGTAACGAAAGCCATTTTTTCCTGAGACCTTGGCTTTCATCTTCCACATGAATTTCTACTGAGGACATGTCTGGAATTCCAAATGTGGTCCACAGTAACTGAGATCACAAAATCAATACAAGCAGCCAGAATGAGAAAAGTAATAGAGCGAGCTTGAGCAAATAGATCTGTACTGCTGTGATGTCCTTTCTCCATAGCTCAGGATTGGTTTCCTGGCAGCACTGTTTATGGCCCTGACTCCTTCGGAAGCTCTTCTGTCGCCACTGTCCTCCCTTCTGTCTTTATACACCTCTCACTCACTAGTGGATCTGGCTGCAGAGAGGAAAGCATGCCAAATTCAGGAGCTTCCTCCATGAACCCAGTAACTAGAGGAGGCCTCCTTCTCCTGCTCCTCCTAGGACAGGGGTATACCACATTGCATTGCCCTGCTGAATGAGCTGTCAGGTCACAACATGGCTCACAATTAAGCGTAGTCTTGTGCAGCCAGGCTATGTTCCAGAGAGCCAAACTCTGCATGAAAACATCCAGACAACAACATGAAAAACAGAATAAGCTCCCCTCTAATAAACGCTGTTGTGTGGAAATAACCTGATGTAAAACATATCTGTTATACAAACTGTCTTAAGTTTTGTCTAAGTTGTCTACTTTTACGTTGGCTCTTTGTGATACAAGAGTATACTGACCAAGCCTTGAATTCTGCACCCATTTCAACTAAGAGTCTTGGTTCCAATCCAGAAGAAAAAGAAGGTACTTTCTCTGATGTCTTACAAACTGAAAACAAAGCTTTGCTATTTCTAAAAGGAGTAATAATAGGAGAACTATTGAATCCTTACAGCTAGCAGCATGATGACTGACCTTATCTGAAGCCAGGATTCTGAAGGAAGCTATCACTTGCTCAGCCGTGTCTGTGTCTGCCGTTTCTCTGGTCATGAAGTCAATGAAGGACTGGAAAGTGACGGTTCCTTGTCCATTGGGGTCAACCAGAGACATGATTCGGGCAAACTCAGCTTCACCCTTTCACAGAATCCAAAACGAAAAAAAATGGTCACCGTAATATCAATCGCCAACAGCCCTTGCATCTCATGAATCAGTAGGGACCAGTGGTTGCAAAGTTTTTAAAGCATCTTCCTGACTTAGGAACATAAATGTCAGGGTCAGTGAAATCTGGGATCTTAAATGCCCACCCATCTGTTGTAAACAGGACTCGGTGCTTTTGAAAAACGTATTCTTTGTCCTAAATACATAGTATGTACCTTCCAATTAACTTTCTGCAACTTCTCTCCCTTCCCACCCTCCCTCAGTGCTTGTTTAACTTGTTTTAACATAACACTTAGTTTTTCACTCCATCCTAAAACCACTGTAATTTAGGTACCACACAGGGAAGTGAAACAATAGCCCAAGAAGCAAGGTACTTGCAGACTCACTGAACTAAGAAGTAAGGGAAACAATTCTGAAAATTTCAGGCCAAATACAGGACAGTTCAACTAAGGCTAATACTTTTTTTCCCACTAGAAATGGTAAATGGGGGAGGGGGGGCGGAATTTTAGAATAAACAAGGGAAGAAAATGCAACCCCTCAAAGGTAGTTTATGAGAATTAAACAGCATCAAACTCATTCTTCCTCATGCGGATAAAAAAGAAGAAAGGAAAAAAAAAATTAGTAATTGTTAATTCCAAATTTTAAAGTTTCCTTAATTCAAAGAGCAATGCAGTAGACCATAGAATGTGGTTTTCAAGTGTCTAGTTTACTTTTAACTTCCTTTTTAACCATATGAAAATAGAGAAAAATGAAAGAAACAAGAAACTAGTATCTCTAGTTTAAATTATATTATTAGTATTCTGTCAATTTAAATAAGCTTTAGTGTTGCTGTGGTTAATGTTATAAGCTATAAGCAGAATCAGTTGCCATTTTCTTAAAATTCATACCAAATCATAACCCATTGAAATTAAGCAAGCTCTGAAATCATCGTGGTCCATCAATCCATTCTTCCTCTATTGACCAAAACAATGTAAGGAGTATAGAAGGGAAGGTTTGAAGAATCCAGGGTAATTTCCAGAGAGATGATGAGTTTAGACCATTGGCATATTGCATCCAGGGCATGAACAGTATTCATTGATATTGCCCAAACAGGTGAACAGAATCATCATCAGTTTTAGAGGAGGAAGAAGTAACTAACATATTACACACAGGAAACAGACATTTTCACCACAAAAAGTAACATCAGGAAAGGTCATGGGAGAGATAAGGGAGAAGAGGAGGCGGAGGAGACAAGAACACAGATAGCACAACCAGAGAAGACAAAGAGAAGGGCAAAGAGAAAAGTTTGTTACTAAACTAGTCAAAATCAAGAGGTGCTCAAGCTGCCTCCCTGATACAAAATGTCTTTGAAGGCTCAGCACGGGATGCTGTAGTGACTAAAAGTATAGGTAAAAACAGTCTGAAAATCGTGTGTCATCATATTTCGAATATTCCACTCCAAGGCTAAGAGGTGGGTGCACTATGAGAGCTGTCTGCTGACATGCAGGAAATAAGTACAGGGATTTTCCTTCTGACTGCAGGCTACCCAGACCTGGGCTACAGCAGAGAGATGTGCACGCTGGCTTAAAGGATGAGATCTGCAAGGCTGGGAACAAGGTCAGCTGAACACCTTGTATGAGAGGAGGTAGCTCGTTTTCCAGACAGTAACATTTCTGTGGCATTCCTGACTCAAAGCTGAGTAAACATTAAATGGCATGATAGTAATAAAGTAAATAAATGTTTCCTCTGTGTTGTGATATAATCTAGCTGTTCGGAGAGAATTAGGTGGTTTTAGATCAGGAGAGATTGTATTGAGTCTGAGGAAAGGAAAATTAGAAAAAGTCAGTGCAAGAAGCATAGGAGCTCCCCATAGCTATCTAGTAGAGTCCAAATAAAACATCTCAAACCAAGTAGAAGAAACAACCTGAAAAATCTTTGAAAAATGAATAGGAAAATATGGCTCCAAGTGATGCTGACAGTCCATCTAATCTGGTTGTCTTCCCAGAGGCAGGATCTTTTCAAAGCATTATGACCAATACATTGGAGTCTAAACACACAGTCTCTTTGACTATTATTATATTGGCCTATCTGAAGACTGAACAATATCAGTTTCCTCTACCTGCAGGTCATTTCCAACCTGTCCTAGACTGATGAGGCAGGCTTTAAATCCATCAGAATGCAGACTGTCAGATTCATCCTAGCATCCCATCACAGGTCATGCATTTGGGAAGGTGAAAGGAAAGAAAGAAAAATCACAGATCAGGTTAGTTGGTTAGTAAAGAACATTCTACTCTTGTATTAATAACGATGTTTTACAGAAGTTCATGGAAACATAATGTCATCATATTGCAATGAAATACCTAAAAAGTGTAAAACTTTTGCAGTTTCATGCTTTAGGTTTTTTCTTAGTGGAAGAGGGTCCTTACTTCAACTACGGAGTTAGAACTGTGCTTCCTTTACAGGTGTTTTTTTAACATTTTTGCTGATAATGCAGTTTTTATTCTATTGAGCTGCCATTTGCTTCCTTCACTTTCTATTGTCATACAGTGTATATGACATGAAGTAAAAAGATCATTGAATCTCAGCAAAACATTTTTTCCCCACTCAGTTGCTGTTACTTCACTCTTGATCTGATAATATTACTTAACAACTGAATATGCATATCTCATTTGAGAGCAGAAGTACAAAACAATTGATTTCTTGTCTAGACCCAAAATAAATTTATAACTGACATAATTTATTTTAATTTATCTGTCTTCTTTAATAATTTATATAGTGAGGTTTTGCTTTGAAAACTGACTTTTAAAAAGCCCCATTGAATTCCAGGTTAAATGGCTCCTAGTAACACCACATTGAACTGGATCACTGTTTTGAACCAGTATTTTTTTTCTATTTTGCAGGTCAAGAAATTCACACTAACTTCTTAAAAACAGACTGGACTGTCTTTTTCTTTCTGTTCATACAAAATGTGTCCTATCAGAGGTGTACTTCGGATTGAGTTAACATGAATACAATTAAAGAGATGTTCTGAGATGAAAAATTATTACACTTATTGGTTTTATAGACTGACAGTTTGGAGAGGATCCAAGCTTTTCTGTCTTCTACATATTTGCCTGCTAGATGAATAATTTGTTTTTGAAAGTTTCTATATAGTTATGCATAAATAAAATTATAGGAGTTTTAACAAACGTACTGGGCTTGTTTAATATACTAATAGAGTAAAGTGGTGCTTTATTAACTTCATAATGCCATGCAGTTTTGACATATCATGCTGTTATTATATTGACTCCCTCTGCATCAACCACCACCAGCTCCATAAAGGGAAGATGAAAAATAACAGCGGGAAGTCAATGATGAGAGACAAAGTGAAGCTTCACATCTGGAGCAGCATTTAGTTAAAAGCCATAATCACAGTGAAGTTTTTTTCCTTTAATATTTCCATTTTCTAGGATAATTCCTGCTATAAGACATGCAAAATGCTTTATTTTATCATTCTGAAGATGTTAATCTCGGCTGACTTGAAACTCTCAAATACCATCCTGGAGAGAGACTATGGCAGGTCACACCAGGAGTGAAGTCAGCTCATTTTTTTTTTTATTTCTAAAGCCAAACATATTACTCTGTGACTGCAAACAATACAATATAAAAATGGGAGCTAAGAGCCAAATCCTGTCCCTCCACCTCCTCTGCCAGGTGTTGGTAGAGGACCATTAGCTACCTGACATACCCGGGGGTGGGTGGCCAGTATGTGCAGGAGCTCCCTAACCAGGCACACGTGGCAGCAGCAGTCATGCTACAGGTAGCAAAGGGCAGACAGGAGTGAGAGGCCAGCACATCCACCAAGCAACTGTTTTATTTAGGAGACGAGCGCAACGGTTGTGCTGGAGCTCACAACCGTCATCTGGTTAAGTGGGGCTCCCCGGTGAGGGTCCAAGTAGTTGTGCCATGTGCAGGTTATCACGTTCTCATAGTGATTTTTTTTTAATCTGCATCATATATGGCCTAAAAAGGCATCTTTGCCTTTGCAGTATATCAGTTTCATGGGATACAATGGTATTTTGCAATTAATGCATAGATCAAGCACATGCAACGGCTTTCTCATTGGGAAATGGTCTTTTCTATTTATTTTTATTGTTTGCAGATCAACATTAAGCACTGAAATTAGTTTTTTAGAGCATTTAAATAACCTTGCCTTGTTCATCTTTTCCTGCCAATACAAAGTAAAATGCTGAAATCCCCCTCCATGTTTCATTATTAGTCTCCAGAAACATTTCCATCTCCTTTGTGATTAATATGTGGCATTACAAAATAAATGAGCTTCCGAGTCAAAATAATCCATTCTTAAATATGTCCTTCAGTTTCCTGAATGCTAATTGACCTGCATAAGTCTGATCACGTGGCTTATTTAATAGGGAGCTGTTGTTTTTCTGTCAGTAAAATATAGGGTGGCATGATGCCATTGTTCTGCATGCAGAGCTCCTACTTAAAATCTGTAGTTTGCACAAAAATCAATAGCAGAATATGTTAACAGCCATTAGGATATTACATGCAGAGCAGCTGCAGATATTTTATCACATACTTCGCAATCTTAGTTAGAATTTACTAAATAGACTGAATCTGAAAAAGGAATCTCTGCATAAAAAGGCTTCAAAACCAGTGACTGACAACATATCTGTGTTGGTGTCCCAGTTCATCTGCATACCATAATTCAGCTATGCACCATTTTGAACACTTCTAAACTGCTTCTGTGACTCAGACGTTGTGTCCCACTTTCTCTTTTTTCCTCTATGCAGTCACATTAAGGAAGGAAACATACCAGTGTTGCTAAAGATTTATATTTATATCTACGACTAGACTGTGCCTTCAGGCACAGCCTCCAGCAAGGAGTAGCAGGTAAGCAGCAGCATCCTCAGGAATAATCTCTGGGGTTGCCTACACGCCTGATGGAAACACAAGAGCCTAGAGGGCTGCCCCCTTGCCCCAAGGGAGACAGTGTACTTACCACCTGCCTTTAACAAGGATGACTTGTAACGCTCTCTGTGCTAGCGTATCTCTGCTGGTGGATGCACTGAAAGAAGCACAGCTCTTCCTGCCCTCATAATTCTTCTATGCATGGTGCCCACTTATTCACTGCAGTTTGAGAATCAGTGGCATGGAGCCCCCAGAAAACCCCTTGTAAAATACTGAATAGTTTTCTTTCAAATATTCAGGATGTTGAAGCCATTTAAAACAACTCACCCAATTATTTAGCTCTCTCTCAAAGGATTAACAACTGCAGAATTAAGCCCCATAAAGGATTATGAACTGTATGATTTCTATTTATTTGTATATTCTTCCTGGGGAGGAAGATAGGGTACCTCCCTCAGATTTATAAGCAAAAGAAGTTGTTTCTAGAAGTACTCTATAAAAAGTTGTTAGGCTTATGTGTACCAAAATACTTTCTTTAAAATGAAGAAGGGAGCTACTCTGCATATTAGTACTTTGCCGACATACTCCACACACACTGAGTCAAACATTAAGATATATCTTAAACTGGAGAAATGCCACAGAAGTCAGAGCTATCGCATACAGAAATGATTCTGTTGTGCTTAGGTATTTAAAGCCTACTCATCAGGGACAGTATTAATTTTGGGGATCTTTTCTGGCTATTCATCATTGTCCAGTTCTTCCAGTGTGTTTGTTAAACTATGTCAAGCATTCAGAAATGCTGCTAAGTGCAACAACATTATTACATATACTGCTAATTCCATCTGACATGGAGAAGCCAGTATTTTTCATGTTAGTGATTACGTTCAGATGATCCAGTTTCATCTTCATTTCTATTTAAGGTAATCAAGACCATAAAAGAATCCATTACTGCCTTCTCTACCTAAATCCCAAGTTTAGAGTCTTATTTTGTGTGCCCTGAAGTAACTCTGAAGCACCTTGGGTTTCCTTTATCTACCAACACTAAATATTTGAGTGTATAAGGATATAGGAAGGATATAAAAATGAAAAACAAGCCTGTCTCTCTCAAACATATTTGTTCAATGTGTCCTTCTAGTCCGTGTAGATTGAGTAGCATCTGCCCATTAAATTACAGTGTAATTTAATCAGTATAAGCTCCTCTTTTATCAGTGTTTCTACTATCTGCCCCCTGCAGAAAGCCTGGTCTGATGGCTGAGTGGCTTTAGATCTTACCTTCTTCCTTTCTTTAACTTGCATTATGCTAATAAGAACATAACTGTTGCACTGTGTCTGTGGAAAAGTCCTCCTAGAGCAATTTCCCATGTCTGATGCAAAGGGAAGGAGTATACCAAAGGAGGCATATCCAAAATGGTCCTTTCCTTATGTGATCCTTCCAAGCTTCTTTTTTAAGGCCTTTAGGTTATATCTGTCATGGGGGGTACGTAAGGTCTGCAGCTAAACTTGGTGCCCAGGCCCAGGTTTTTGAGGCCATAAAAACTGATGAAGCCTGTATCTCCTTCCACTTCTGACCTGGACACTCAGGCTTCCTGCAGCAGAAGGGACACTGCCTGAAGCCATGACTTATTATAACCTGAAGGAAGGAGACAGCCAGGGATAGGCAAGGATCTAGGAGCTGGGAAGCACTTCTGTGTTGTTCATTATTGTCATAGCCCATCTCCAACCTGCCTGCAGCTGTGCGACTCGAGCACCCTCTTCCAGGCCACGCATCCTTCCTAAGGTCTTGCTCTGTTGCATCCTTTGGTATCCCAAAGTCTTACTATGTCTGCAAAGCCTAAAGATCCGTAATAACACGGCTGGTCGGTGTAAGATTTAGCTTCTCCCTTCAAGACCTTCTGAGGCACCAAAAGATAGTAGTATCTCCACAGCCACTGAACCAGCCTTCCTGCAAGCATGGCAGAGAACTCATCTATGAACTACAAAGATACAGGGATGCTAGAAATGGCCATCTAGTGTAAGATATACTCGAATTCAGTCACCTTGCTTCCTTATCTTCAGGGACCTGTCAAATCTTTGTGCAAACTCCCTGATTTCCCTTAAAAGGGTCTCTCAAATGCCGGCGTGTAATTTATCCAGGCCTGGTATTCTGTCTGGTTTTAATAGCTCTAATTGATCAGTTATCTGCTCCAGTGCACTGGAAAAACAATTTAGTATGCTACTTCATTCCACCCCAGGAAATTTATCTCTGCTTCTGTGATGTTATCTTCTGCTTCCTTAGAAAATACAGAAAGGAGTTATGCTGTGCTAGAATCACATGAAGATTTTCCATAAAATCTGTTCCTGGTTCCTATGTAGCTAACCTTTCCTATGCTTGTGTGTTTCTTCAGAAAGCAGAGGTTTGGCAATTCTGCTTTTCTTTTTAAATAATTAAGAATATTCTAAAGAATATTTAGCAAACTATGTTTGTTAGCATCCAATGCACGTCAGGTGTAAGTCTAGATATGGGTAACCATTTTGAGTAGAGCTGGACAAACATGATGTCAGTGAAGAGAAAGTAGCATTTTGCTATAGCCTGAAATGATTTGAAAGAGCCAACTCATGTGATAACAGAATATAAATTGGGGATTAAGCACAGTCTACTAACTACAGGGATCTATAATGGGAAAAAGACAACAGCCTGGTGCTGCATTACGGTAATCTTTCTTCAGTATTTGAAATGCGAACTTGGTTTTGAAGGTGGGTTCATGTGAGCACAGAGCCACCAGAATTAACATGTGCAGATCGTTCTCCAACTGGGAATGTTATATCCCTGTCTGCATGTATTTTGCTATTGTGTCTATTAATAGCTACCTTTTTAACCCGCTATCCATGAATACTACATAACTCATAGAAGGAGTGAGTTAAGTTTCTTCACAACAGTGTCTTCATTCCTACTTTTTTATTCATCCATGATTAAATAATTGAAAAAACCAGCCTCTTATTTCCCACATACAGCCAAAAAAATAAAGTGTTTTCTTTGACAGCTATCAGTGCCCCAACTATATTCCCCACAGATCTGTTTCTAGGGGGAGAAGTTGTGATTCAAAGACAAAAAAACCCTGTAATTCAGAATACAGCTAAATTTAATGAGATGGAAGCAACTGGCAAGAACCTAGAACATACTGCACTGCCTTAAAATAAAGGGGCATGTTATTTTCCAAAACACAGATTTATCCAGTTCTATCTGTTATTTGAACAAATACTCAACCATGTTAGCAAAACTGTAATTTTGCATTACATTTAAAGTGTAAATATTAAACTTTAATGTATCTGTACAATGCTATGACTTCATAAGGCTGTAAATTCTTTGTTAACTGATCTTTTTTGCTGTTTTAAAAAGAGCCCATTGTTACTACATTTGCAGTTTTTTAAAAGGTTTACATTTGGAATGAAAAGAAACTTGCTTTTGGGAACAATAAATATTGCTAGTTGAGAAAAAGCAGGAGCACTGTACCCTGTCAAAATGATTGAATGATGCTCTGAAGTCATTCATTTGTTCCTGGGTGATACCCTTGGCATCTCTTGTGAGGATCTGAGTCTCAACCTCATTGATAGTTCGAGCAATGGTGGTAAGTAGGAGCTCCCATCCAACACGGATGTGCTGTGAGAGAGAAAATACTGATTTATTAAAGAATCAAATATATTATGCTAAGAGTATAAAAAGTACAGTAAGCAAAAAATCAGCTTTAAATATTCATGTGATACCTTTTCCATACCACTAACTCTATATTATGACCAAGGATCATTAAAAATAAAAGTTGCCTTCAGAGAAATAAGAAACTTGTTTCTAAATGGGTACTTCTACACTAGAAGTAAAAATAAGTGAAAATAAAGCAAGCCTTATGAGATTATCAGAAAGTCTGCCAAATTCTATCCTCTGTTGCAGTCTCTTCAGATCAGGGCAGGCAGTTATACAGCAGAAGAGGGCAGAATAAACTAGCAAGTGCAAAAGGAAGTAAATGGCTACCTCCATAGTATAGTTGGTGTGCTTGTTGTCAAACACCAGGGCTTCTTGTATAAGCTGATGATCTCCTTCCAGTTTGTCAATGTTGTGTTTATAATTAATGATATTGTGCTCATATTGCTTCAGCTGATTCATCTGGTCCTCCAAAGGCCCTGTCATTTCAATAGAGCTGCGGGCAATTTCCTGTCAAAAGAAACAAAGACACCCCCCCCCGCCCACAGCATTTAAGCTTCAGATTTGCTGATTTGTCCAACATTCATATAAACATGTAATATTTTCATACTAAGAAGCAATAGTAATAAAACCTTCATACAGTGGAGATGAGAAAATTTAGTGTAAAAAACACATTTCAAAAGAAATGTGGCACGTTTCTTTCTGGAATTAGTATCGAGACCCAGTATCTTTCCTTTACAGAAAGCAGAAGCTAAATAGTAATTGTTTAGTGATTGATTTTTTCAAAGCTACATCTCCTGCTCACCATCAAGGTACCACTTGTACAAGCTTCCAGAGTTTTACAAATCATCCTAACAGGTGCTAAATACTTCAGATAAAAAATGATAAACCACTTTGTTGGTCAGCTTCTGCGTGAGGTCTGACACTCACCTCCATCTTGGTCTGGATCCATGGCCCAATGACATTGGCCTGAGCAGCAAACTGGCGACGCAGGCGCTCGTTGGCATGCTGGCGGGCTAGCTCCTCCTGCAAGGATTGATCCCTCTGAGGCACCAGCTGCTTCACCTGTTACAGTGGGAAAGCACCGTCTGAGTAGGCACAATGGAAAAGTTTGAAAACAAATGGAACAAATAAGTCTACAGTTACTAATTTTTCTTACTGGTCTGAAGGATGATATCAGAAGGACAAACCAGAAACATGTTCACTATTTTATTTACCAATTCTGTGCTAACGTAAGAAATTGCTAACATGGTCTTGGGCAGCCTGACCAGAGAGACTGACATGGAGAGAGAAGAAAGTCTCACCTCTGGCGGGATTAAAGTTCAACACAAATGTTTAACTTGAACTGCTATTAGACCAATTACTTTGTTTTTCATTTGAAACACAGATGATTTTTCAATCTCTATGTATCTGTACTAAGAATAGTAGGCACAAAACATTTTATTTGAGCACAGCCATTATGACAGGATAATATGAGACGCATTCTGTCCATCACGTATATCTGAAGGTCTCTAATATACTGCAAATGCTTTTTTTGGCTTATCCTTCTGGATTGCCCTGGGTGATTCTTAATTTAGTCCTTATTGCTTGTTTTTTATAAGCCATTGATGATGTGTTCTTGTCCATGTAAGTTTATGTATTCGGAAAATTCATACATTCTACACAATCATTTACCTTCAGCATATTATCTGTCTTGCTTTCTAATGAAATAAAGTTCATGTGATTGCTCTACGAGCCTCTCCCTAATCACTCCCCATTAATTTCTTAAGATAATTGCCAGTTTAAATCTAATTGGATAGAACATTAATAGTCCCAAAGATGCTATTTTTTTACATTTGTGAAAAGCAGCAGCTGGGTAGAAGAGACACACAAACTACTGTCTATATTGAGAGAAATAATACAATCATATTCTGTTCTTTTGATGGCACTCCCTGGCCCATGTGCTGGCCAGCCACCAGCCCTGCACTAGCCCCAACACATGCTTCTCTTGCCCTGCCAAAAAGTCAGAAAGGACGTAGGTAATATTGAGTGAGGGGAGCAAGGGATATTGTGAAGCAAGCCTAGCAAACATAAGGGAGAGAATAAGATACTGTAATAAAGTTCATTCTGGCATCTGATGATCTAGAATAATTTACACATTTATTGTAAAGTTCTCTGAATATTCTCAGTATTCCTAAACAAGAATACTATGTTACAGTGTCCTTTATGTATTTAACATACATTACCTTCTCCCACTTGCTACGAATCTCTTCCACAGTAACAGTGCTGTAAGGATTGCTTGCACTTATTCTCATGCTATAACTCTGAATAACTTTTTCAACTTCATTCTGGATTGACAGTATGGCTTGTCTTTCACCATCTGCCTCTGGCAAAGTAGCTTTAAATTGATCATGCGCAGAGATTAAACTCTAAAATCAGAAACAGAGAAAGAAAACATGAAAACCTTAATGTTCCTTCTAACATCTATAAGATCTGCTGTAAATAAGCACAGCTCCTCTCTCAGCCTCTCAAACACCCTGTCTACAAGTATCTGTAGATATAGGAAATAATACATGTAGATACATTCATGAAAAAGTCCTCATGGACTCTGTCAGGACCAACAATTCTTCCATGATCTCTGGAATATGCTTTCATACCAATGAAGAACTCTATTTCTAATACAGCAGACATTGCCTATCACAAAGAAAATACCAAGACAGATATGGATTTTTTTCCTTACACATGTTCCACTCTCCAAGCAGGAAAAGCTTCCTTTCTTGTTTTCCCTATGACTGTAAGCCAAAAAACAGACAACCATTTACCTGAATTTCCTCTATGCTGTGAACAATAAACATGTCCTGCAGGTCTTCCATAGCACCTTCCATCCAGTTGTTGAAAGGGGCAGCTCTTTTGGCAAACTCCAAGTGAAGCTGATCAATTGTTTCAAGCAATTTCTCCGTCCTCTGTACAGGTTGGGAAAGGTACATTCCTTTGTTACTAGGGCAAGACTGAACTCCACACACATACCTACCCATGCACAAAGCCATGCCTCATCTTTTCAAAAGCAATTGATTGTATTGTTGACTGATTTCACCATTTGCTTTAAGGATTCTTACTCAAGGCAACAGGACTAATTGCAGTAAGGATACTCTCATATCCAGCACGTTAAAGGGGGTGCATGCCTTTGAAGGACAACAGGTGAAATGACTTTTTCACTACTGATATTGTAAGCATTTTTGTTATTGTGATCTATCTACAAATCAATTAAAACCTGCTAATCTTGCTGTAGTAAATTCTTGTAAGTATAAAAAGGAGCAGTTAGACATATGTTTTCCACCTTGGCATAAATGTGCGTGACTTCCTCTTTTCTTAAGGAATAATGTTTTGGAAAGTATCTCAGGGCTTTGGAATACTCACTACCAAAAAATTAACCCGGTTCTGGCCATTATCCTGTACCTCACCTGATTAAGCTCAGACAAGTATGAAAAGGTAAGCATCTAATGGCTTTTGTTATCCTTGCTCGACATCAAATTCCCGAAGAGTGGTGTTATAAATCACAAGCCATTTGTTGCTACTTTAGAACTGTCCTTGGCAGTTGAGTACTGTCAAGTCTGTTCTGAGCAATTCAATCTGTTTGCAAATGAAACCACACCAAAATGAAATGGAGATCTGAGGAAAGGATTTATTGCCGTTTGGATTCCAAAGTGGATGCTCAATGGCACTGTTGCTAGATCTGAAACAAATGGTTCATTCCTCGCCCCTGCCTCAGCTGAGCTGCTGATTGTTGGTTTATGGTTTACCTCCAGTGCCTCTCTCCTTTTCTGAGTAAGTGTTCCCAGGCTGTCCCATTGGTCACATATCTTTTGGCATCTATCATTGACACTTGCAGCATCATGGTAGTCCAGTTCACTAAAAAAGAGTGAAGACAAAAATCTGTGTGACTTTCTGAAAGACAGGAGTAGTTGCACTGTCCACACTCTTCCACTGGCCCTCAGTAATTCTTCCCCTCTTTTTTGCAATATTTCTCCTCCAGATAAGCAAGTGTTGCAGTATAGACATGTGTGATCCAGACATTCAGCATTTCAAGAAGCACGGCACAGAAGTAGGATCAACCTCCTCTCCTGTGAGAAAAGTCAGGTATCCAACTGTGACATCCAGGTATTAAAGGCAACTCAGGTGTCTAATCATCTTTGTCTCAGCTATTCCTGTGGCACAAGCAATCTGATCTCCTGAAGACCAGAATGCTTCAGTCTGGGGCTTTATCAAGTTTTTCAAGATTGGTACAGTTTTTAATTAATTGGCCTGAAATATACGTTTCATTTTAAATAATCCAATGATCCTTTCCAGCTCCATATGCTCTGAAATTATTTAACTGACCTCAGGCTGCATCCAAAGCATAATCTCCCTCTCATAGGCCTGGCAATACAAATAGGGGCTGCCCAGATCTGGACCGCAGAGAACAATTTTCATCTTCATCTCCACGAACAATTCACAGAGCTACACCCTAGAACTGGCTGGTTCACAGAACAGGGATCTCCAGACCCACATATGCCACCAGCCTGAATCAGTGCACCCACAGAGGATGTAGCAGTTAGCATTACTTTCTCACCTGCTTAATAGGCTTATATTATCCTGACAGAAAGCAACTTACTACTCTAAGACCGGAATAATTCTTTAAAACTCTGTCCTGAGATTCTGCACTGAGTCTGCCTCAGATTGAATTTTTGATCTCTGTGGCAGATAATCCCCTTGGTTCTGCTGCACCAATCATGACCATAATAAAATACATGTGTTTGGCACTTTGGAAGCTCACTTTTATTGGTGTATTATCATCCACTGGATTTAGCTCTTGGCTGCTCCTTGAGGACACTTTGCCCAGTACTAAACATTGCAGAGACTGTGATTATGTGACAGCATGGCAATATGAAGCTAAAATTTACTTTACGGCTTGAACAAGACATTAAATGCATATAGAATTTATTCCCTTCTTTTGAGCATTCTTTAGGCAATTGGCAACAGGAATGTACAGAACATTCCATCAGTAACTTAGAGAATCACAGAGGACAAAATGAGAACAGAGGTAGCTTTCCCCTGTGAAGCTACACTGTAGGCCAGGGGCAGTGTTCACGCTTCCTCCTCTCAGCTCAGTCACAGCAGTCTGGTTTGGGATAAAGATGAGAAGTATGTGAACCAGTCTGTTTAAAATAGGTTTCAGATGTGCTGCAATCAAATGACTGTTGAAAGTGAAGAACAGTAAACCAAGTATAAAGAAAATGACACAATAATTTTAAAAATAACAAAACCAGCCCAAAATTGTGCAAGTACAACTGTTACATGTAAGGAGAAAGCTGCCAGCAAGTCATGCTATACAAGGGCTCCTTAACTCAAAAACTTGCTTCATCCTTTGGAGCAAGCCTTTTTGTTAGCCTTCAAGGGACACAACAAAAGCCTTCTATTTGTTAAGAAATTTTAAGTCAGAAGCATGGAGTTTTGGATGAAACAGGCTGAGATATATTTTTGAGTTTTTGGCTGGAAGTTGGGTTTTTTCATTATAGAATGTTGAGATTATTAAAGGATGTTCCTGTGTGAGCTGGTAGCTCACTAAGTGGATAGGATGTGGAGATTTGTATTTTGGTCTCTTTTCGCATATCAAATCTAATATACCAGAATATGTACAGGGTATTTTACCAGGTCACATCCTTGAGAGTCCTGAAAATTTTATTTTTGTTTCAATGAATCACTTATCTCCTTTTATCAATTAGGATAAGGGCAGGTGTCCTTCTGTGAAAGTGAGGGACTGACTGTACAAGCTCTGGTCAAAGTTCTGTAAGGTAATGTGAAATGTTCTTCCACCAGCTCTGCCAGGGAGACTCAGTCATTCCCCATAAGATCTCTGCTATCCCATTTCTTCCAGGAATATGTGCTATGACACATAGGCAGGAGAATAATATCAAAATGACTTTTTAAAAAGGCACCTGTGGGTCAAAAATCATGTTAGTTTACCAAATGGCATTTAAGAGTGTAGTTCCACTGCCTTTCTAGGCCTGCTGTAGTTTACTTCAAGTAAGTGTATTATACATGTCAAAGAACATTTTTCTGCTCAAAGCAGGAGCAGAGGAAGAAATAACAACTCATAGGAGATTATTTACTTGGAAATAAAGCTCTACATTTCTTGTCCTATTAATTTTTATATCTCTCAACATTGAAGCTGTAAAGAGACTAGATTTCACTTCTTGTAAAAAGAAGTTCTGCTTACCATGCACACACAAAGTACTGTTGCACATGTGTTACAGATCTTCTAAGAGAACAGTCATTTCTATTTGTTTGGTTATTTGAAATCTACAGACCTTGGAATTTAAAAATCATTAGGCTATTCCTATTGATTTTACAATCTCATCTGTAAAGAATTAAAAATTTAGTCAAATTTTGTCCTGATCCAGAGAAGCACTTAAGTATGAGCTCACTTTAGGAACAGTGATAGTGTCACAAAAATAACCTGCTGAGCAACATGCTTTAGCACTGCTTCAGAACCAGGCTCATGTTAATCATGCACGTAAGCACAATTTGAGCCCAGGTTTCAAGAAGCAAAAAGACTCTCCAAATCAGTGTTACAGATAGTGGTCTTGACTGAAAATAAGTTGTTACACTAGAAGTGATGGATATGCAAGAAACTATATACCAAAAATTTTATCTTGATTGAAAACATTGAAATGAGCACACAAGATCATAAATGAATACGGCATTTCGTAGTACAGCTCACTCAAGTTGTATTTAGCATTTGCTATGTCATAAATGGTAAATCTCATTTTAGAAATGTCCAACTTTTTCCAGCTTTGTATATAGCCCTATCCAATCATTGCCAACAAATATCTAAGTCTGTACAGGCTGGAATGCAAAAATCTTATAGCAGTATCCTGGCTGGAATCACCTGCTTGCACACACACACAAATCCTTTGTCTAAACAGCACCAATCAACAAGCTTGTAGCAACTTCAACCTTAAGCACAGGGTGGACTGAGCTGCTGCAGCAGAAAGTACCAGAACAGACAGGAAACTGTAACTGGTAGAGTTCAAGGTCATACACCAATTGTTCTCCTTTGAAATAGCAACATTAGGCAGCCAAGAGATTGACTAAAACAAAACATGGAGGCATACTGACTTGGAATTTAGACATAGATGATGATGATGATTTCTGTAAGGGCCTGATCCAGTGACAAAAAAAAAAAAAAGGGAGAAAAAATACCCAGATTGACTTTGGTAGGCTTTGTATCAGGTGCCAGTGCACATTTCTTAGCATTCAGCATTCAGCATTCAATCCTTCTTTAAAAATATGAAAGGCGAAAGAAATTAGTGTTTTCCTCCATAATTTCATTGTGTGAGGAATTATGTACAAATAATTAACATCAATATTTAAATAGAAGCTGCTCATTTGCTGGCAGCTAATCATAAAACTTGACTTTTATGACCTTTCATTCAGTGTTCTCCAAGGGCTTTAAGCCTAGCTGAGCTACTGAGTCTTAGTGAAAAGTTGGGCACTGATAGCCCCATTGTATGGAGAAGCACAGACGTCAAAGTAGAGCATCTCTTAAAGCAAAGGGGTTTTAGCACTTTTGCAGCCCAGGCCACAAATACCTTGCTTAACTTGACACAGCAAATTACTGAAACAACCGAGAAGAGACAGTCCTAAAACAGGCAGGATACAGTGTTCACTGGCCTCACCAGCGGTAAAGGACACAGGGTTCAAAACGCTGGTAAGCACATGCCATGCTATGTATACCACATTCCCTAAATTTCTCATCACTTGTAAAGCTGAAGCTGAATTAACAATGATTAGGTGTTTTAGAAACTTGCTTTAGTATAAAAGAGGAACAAATAACTCCTCAACAGAGACTAAGGTGTGCCAAAAGGTGTTTCATATGCTCACATACTCAGTGAAATCTCCATTCTCTGTGTTTTTCAGACTTCTTTCACACTAACTAATAAACAGTACTTATTCTACCCACTGTGCTTTACTTTTCCTCCTTTAAATAATATTGAAAAATAGGATTTTTCTTCTAAATCTATTTGAATTATACAATTACTGTAAGTACTGCTGCTGCTATCAGGTATGAATTACATTTTTAGACAGCTCTGATTTTTAAATTGTTAATTAATGTGGAGACCTTTATGAGTCATGGTCCTTCACAAAGTGAAAAAAGGGAATGTTTCTAACACTTGATTTTTGAATAGTAACTGTTTTGCCTACTCAAGAAGGTGAGAAACTGAAACTTGGAGAGCTGAAGCCAAGGGCAGGAATCTGAGAATTTTGATCTTGGCTCCTGTTTCAACCACCACTGCACATTTGTTCCTGTTGGCTTTGCAGATTTATACCGCTGGTGAGCAATGAGTTTAAGTACGTGCCAAATTGCTAAGATCAGGAGTAGCACCACTGATTTACAGTACAAAACCTCTGCAATTAACTGCATAAGATTATAAAATCAAATGTGCTTAGCTTGGTGTACATACCAAGACAACTTTACCAGAATAGGAACATGTCGTGGTTTGGGCCTGGTTGGCAGCCAACCACAATATGTAACACAACAGTCCTGTCTGTGTGGGCAGAGCTTGACAAAACTGTGCTTCACACAGGTGAATTAACAACCTTCCCACAAACAAAAGTAAGCTCCACCATTAAAGACAGTTTTGCCAAAGTAACTGCATCAACCCTCAGGACCTCTGATGCTATAAGGGTGTCTGTCAGTCAGCCTTGACTTTTTACATCCCTGACCTATGTAGCTGGTGTCAACAACACAGATGTAGCTTAAATGTGTTCTCAGCTTTAGTTGTGTTTTCCCTGGGCATAGTATGCTGAGTGAGCAAGTGTTGGTCCTGTGGTGAAGTTGAAGGAACTGTGGGTGAAAACTCCTGCTTTCCTACAGGACAGGTTGTGTGCTTGATTGCTTGTGTGACCCTGAGCAAGTTATCTAGTTTCCATATGCCCCACTGCCACTACTGTAAAATGGAGACAACGGCACTTCCAAATGTAATATGAAGAGATTGTGAAAATAAGTATACTAGAGACAATTAAATCTTCAGAAAAGTCAGTGCATTACTCACTACTACAGAAAGCGTTTAGGTATGTGAAGCCTTTTGAAAGGACCAATACACTTGTGGGAAAATACTTGATTTTAGAGTAAAGATGCTTGATCTATAATTTGCATAAGTACAATTATTTTCTAAGATAAACACCTCATAGCCAGTAAATCTCAGCAGACCATATGAACTGAGAAATAAACACCTCCAGGATTCCCATCAACACACAACAAACTCATCAATAGAGATAATGCTAAAAGATTAATGTTAAGTCAATTTTAACATGTTTGTACTCAAATAATTTTGGTCAGTTGAATATCTATATTTGGCCGGGGGTAAGGGGGAGATGAGGGAAAGGTCTCAGTGACCAGCTCAGATAATATACTTATGAAGCTATCTCTGGAATTCATACGTTGGTACCTATGACACTATCAAATGCATTGGAAAGAGTTTATCGCAAAGTTAAATGTCAGCAGCTGCAAGCCTTTAAATGGAACATACTTCAGCTCCTGGGCAATGGCAGCGATCTGTTCCACCCTGTCCTGGTGAGCAGCCAAATCGCTCTCAAAAGCTTCATGTTTCCTTAACATGGCGCGGACTTCTGTCAGAGAAGCAGATTCATAATCCTTCTGAAGTAAGATCTGCTCTTTGCCTGAAAGAGGAAGTTAACATATTAGCAATTTTTTACTAATTTATTGTTTAGAACAATTGCAAATTTAGACAACTTTTTAACTGAAGCATGGTGAAAATCACATGTATGAGATGAAGTCCCACACCCACTGAAATCAGTAGCAAATTGTCAGCATAACAGTGTTAATTAGGAATATATATTTTTTAAAATCTCTCAGTGATTCCTTGATTTTTGCATAGGCTGTTAATACTGGTCTAAAATAGTATCACATTGCTTGAGAAACTGGCACAAAGATTGTATAATGGCAAAAACTGGGGCTCTAAAATATTGTAATAGGTCTTTACTTGTAGAGTTACAAAGCCAGAAATCACACTGCTATGCTCAGCTTCACTCTTAGTAATGATCTGTTATTCTATTTCATGTTCTACCTTCAATTCATTATTCATTTCAGCATTTCAAAAAAAAAGAGATATGTGTCTGCCTTTTGTACCAAACACTGAATTTTAAGTGGAAAATGCCAACCTATTTACAAAAGGCTAGAGAAGCAAGGAGGAAAATAGAAACTGAAATATTACTCCTCAGTAGGTCCTGTCTTGGGCAACTGAATCTATACAGACAGTCCCTACAACTGCAGCTCACCACATGGCATTGCACAGCTCAGAATTCTAGAGCCAGAAGACCATTGTTTCATTTGCTATGTATCATCTTATGCGACATTTTCCCTGCATAACAGCCATAACACGTCACCATGAGTAGTTTATGCTCAGAAAATAGGCTCTCAGGGCTGATAAACACTGTAATTTTCCTTCTAGTATCTGCTTGGCAGCCATTTACAGCCTTGTATGGTTCCAGCAACTGTGTAATGGGATGGACTCTGGTTTACTTTCACAGTGTGAAAAGATTCTAGCTGGAAAAAGCCAGAAACATGGCAGAAGCAGGAAAACTGTTGTCGAGGCAAACAATAGGATGATAGAACAGACCTGTGCCTAATGGTCTCCAACAAAACTGTATGCCAGTGTAGTGGTTCTATAGCTGTTACAGGTACATGTAAGGTTAGGTCACCATAAAACAGAATTATAAATAGGGTGTAATCCAGGGTATGGAGCAAAGCAGAAATGAGGCTGTTATGTAGTTTATATGGACTGTTCAAAACACCATGATGACCAAATGATAATCAACCCAGAATAACTCTGTTAATAATTTCACACTTAACAAGTAGTGTCATTGCATTCCTTGTTGGATATCTGGTGTACTAATATATAGGAATGTATTAGCAGTAACGGCCTCTATTCAAATGCTGAATATTCCCCTTAAGCTTGACTCACTACCTCAACAATAAGACTTTTATAGTTATATTTCATTAGCAACATGCCTATAAGTTAGGGCCGTGACTATAGTCAACAAAACCTGAAGTTTCATCTGTTATTATTTTAGGTTTCAAAAACTGTCCAAACTGCTTATGAGTGAGTTTCTGGCTGACAAATATTCAGCGCTGACCTTGAACATTAAAACATTAAAAATGTTAAAAGCCATCTCTGCTCACCATATGCCCATTGTTCATGAGTGGAAGCCTTCTGCCTGAATTTCTCAGCCAAGTGTTCAAGTCTTTCCAGTCTTCGTATTTCATTCAGCAACCACTCTTCATAGCCTTTCTCAGCTTGTTCAAGTCTCTGCCAAGCACCGGCAATATCCTGTGAAGAGAATACATAGAAGAGAGAGGATGAGACTCTTTTTATCCAAACTCGTAGATTTCTGATTCGTTCACAGTTTTGCTCCAAAAAGAGTTTTTATGTCCAGTTTTTGTAAAATCACAGAATCATAGAAAATGTTGTCAGGCAGCTCAGGAAGTCTTGTGGTCCAGGCATCTGTTCCTAATAGTGTACCCTATTCAGGTGGGTTCATGAAAGGAACCCCTACACAAATGGCTTCCAAGCGTAGATATACATTCAGTGTCTTGCCGATATATTGCTTTTATCTCCCATTTTACAATGTGTATGTTCTGTTACGACATACCTATCTTTTATCAAAATAAAAGTGCTTTGTTTTCAGAAGTTGACAGTAGCAAAATTAATGGTGCCAAGAGGATTCGGTGCATATTTTATCTGGAATACAAACTCATTTCACTTTCTGTAGTGCAAAGTTTTGTGAACTTCCTCTGAAACTCAAAGGCATGAGTAGGAAACTGAAGTGACAGGTCCCTGATTTTCTGCTTATGAGGAGAGGACAATGGCCCTTTTCAAGCAGTGCAATCATCTGTTTATCAAATCTGAGCAATCAAAACACAATGGTGGAACAGAGTACAAAAACATTTTGCTACATTCCACAGGAAATGTTTTGATCCACGGTCAACACACAATACTTATCAGCAGATGAGAATTCTTGGTACTGACTATTCTTATCTTCACAGACATAAGAAAAAACAAACTTTAATTTTAAAAAGTAGAAAAAAGCAGAAACATATATTGAGCAATGTCTGTTTCTGTAAGTCTGATGACAACATGTCAGTGAAACCACGAGTTTTGCTTAAATAAAAAAATATTTGGCCTCACTGATAGAGAAGTATTGATAACACTCCCAAAGGAAGATCTGCATCATCTCATGTCTCAAGACAATTTGCTCTTGGGGAAAGCCTTCAAAGAGGCAGGAGCATGCTTAAGAGAAAGCAAGATTCTAGAATGAAAGGGAACATGTAAAAAGAGTGGTTTGATATTGATAAAGTGCAACAAACTGAAGTTTCTGAGGATGACCTAAAATGGCATTTCAATCCTTCACGTTGAAATTTTTGTGAGAATGTTAATAAAAAGGAGAACGGAGTATTGATGCCTCCTTTACTTACCGAAACCATTTTTCCCTCTGATGGCATGAAAGCTGGCCGATTGCTGATCCTCAGTTTTGTCTGCAGGGTGTTGAAATTGATCTCCAGTTGACATTTCTCTTGGACTTTGGGAGGTTTGTGTTTGCGGCGGTAGTCCCGGAAATCTTCTAATTTCTTCTGCATAGCCTGCATTGTTTTTTCTGGGGTCCTGTTTTCCAGCCAAGGAATTGTCCGGCGAATCCATTCTAAAAGCTTTCAAACAAACACAAACATATGAAATAAAGTCAATGGAAAAGCAACCAAAAAAAGATCATAATGAATGCACAAAACCTAATCAAGTTTGCTCTGTTTTGATATCATTGACTTCAGTTGGTATCAGTGCCTTAATGTCAAGTAAGCACAAGATTTTCAAAGCTGAACAAAACTTTTTAAACCGATTTACCCAAATATTCTAGGTATTTCTAGAAATACCCTGATTTTCAGAAAAGATGAACATACATGTAAGGTGTCCCTAGCTAATTACTTAAAACCAGAGTTACCCAAAATCACTTGCCACTTTCAAAGGTATTGGTCTTGATGTTTCAAGTAGTCATAGTTATAAGATCAGGACAGATACCAGACAAGTAACTGAGGGCATATGAGATCAGGATACCAGGCATATGAAAATCTTCACTCAGAAGTCCATTAGTGCCAATGTAGCACTACTGTCTTTGTGTCTCTGATCTCAGTATGTTTTTGCAGGTTATGCATTAAAATCAAGGGAGCTTTCACTTGTGCACTACACATCTGTAGTCCTGACTCAACAAATTTGCCATTTACCAAGAAAGGATGGGAGGAGCACAATGTGCCCCCTTCTTCATTCATTGGCCACCTCTGTTCACAGATGCATTGTGGACACCCTGAGAGACCCTGTCCAGGTGTGCTTTGGAGTACACAAAGCCAGTGGGCTTGCTTGGAGTGACAAGATCCTGTATGTTCCATGTGTGGTCCAGGATGGCTGTCTTTGGAGATGACAGAGACAGCAAGCCTGGCCTCGGGGCAGACCAGTGACAGTCCTCAGAACAGCCTTTTTGAAACATTAATGAGACTGAGTGACTTTCTGGAGGTCACACAGGAAGTATGTGGCAAAGGAGTTACCTGAACGTTGACATCTTGGGCAACTGAGCTTTCTACCCTACCACCATAAGATTTACCCTTACAATGCCTTCACTTTTCTATCTTGCAGATGGTACACGAATCTTTCAGCTTGCAGTATTTCATGAACATAGCTATCACCATGTTACAAGTACAGCTGTCTTTACCTCACTTGCTAGTCTCTCATACTCTTCCATCAACCTCTCATTTTCCTGATTCACAGCAAGCACCTTACAGATCCGGTTAGCTGCAGTCTCAGCCTGTAAAACACAGCAAATAAACAGGACATATTCGTGAACACATTCTGAGAAAGGTACAGGCTTGGAGAAAGAGAATGTGACTGCTGCAAATAAAAATCACATTGTTTTATAGTTGTTGATTTTTACTCCTAGGTTACTTAGATATATATTTACCTTCCTTCTGCAGCCATAGATTCTAATGGCCTGGATAAGGCACAGAGCAGTACAGAAGTCACCTTGTTGTACAATGAAGCCTTATTACACAAGGGGGAATCTCACGTTGCCATTATAGTTGCCTAATAAATCTTTCTTTTTCAAAGATGATTTAGGCCATTCTTAAAGTTATCCTATTCGGTTAATTTTTTAAAATCACACAAAAAAAGTAATAGATTTGTTAGACAGACTGGAAAGACACCCCATGTGACTCAGGAGTCCTACACCACTCTATATCTGCACATCATATGTACATAGACCTTTGAGAATACATGCAGCTGGCAGCAAATCTTTTCATGCCTCCTGACAAATTTATTTGTGAAGGCACTGTGTAGCTCTGTCGCATTTAAAATTTACATTAATAGTTTGATATAACAGACCTATACTTACACAAATGTGAGTCTGGAGTATATCTAATCAAATAAATATCTGTGTAGACTCCTGTATTACAGAGTACGTGGAATCCCCCTTTTGCATGAATAGCAAACCCTTCATACCCAGAAGCAAGAGGATGCAACAGCATAGCTGTGCTATGATAAGGTGTAGTGGCCCTACCAGACAGGAAGGGAAATTAAATCCTGAGCATGAAGGAAAAATACCAACTATTTTAAGGGTTCTTTATTTTTTTTTCCTCATATGTTGGGTTGTGCCCATTTGTAGGCTAGAAATGTATGAAACAGAACAGTGGGAAATGCCACATTTGTAAATTAGAATCCCATTCTGTATGACAAATCTGATGATGATATTCTTGCCTTCTATACTAGTAGTTTAATCCATAAATAATTCCATTGGCTTCAGTGGGAACCAGGCACAAATACCGTGTTGGATGTCTTCTGTGTCCTTCTGCATCTTTAGGCATCTTTGAAAATCTAGGCCTAAATTACTACCTAGCATGAGTAAACCTAGAATAGTCTCAATCTCCAGAAGTCAAACACTTTTCTGCAGCAATCACAGAAGATGTTGATGCAGCAGCAAACAACTTCATTTCACAGTATCTTCAAATACAGTTTTTCTGAAATACTCTTTATAATCAAGAAATAAAGACCCAAAATTAGAAACAGGAATATCCATTGGAATTAAAGTTCAACTTGCTGCACAACATTTAACTAAAACAGGTTCAAGTGTTGGTTAGAAGCAAGTATTAGTGCTCAAGTAATACTTGCAATTGTTAATTACAACCACAAAATACTAAATTAGTTTCTTTTAATAAACTAGTGGAAACGTGAACCAACCAGTCAAAAACACAGCGACCTGAAGGGACAGTTGATTAATACCTGCTCTGCTCCAGCAAAAGCATGGTAGAAGCAGGACACATATGTCATGATAGCTCTCTCATCAGGTTTGGGAGTGTTCACAATATCTACAAGAGGGGGGGAAGAAATTAAAACAAAACAAAACAAAAGAATCAAGGAGTATAAAACAGGATGAATAAATAAAAGCACAACATAGTGTTCTGATTCTTTTCTTGTCCATAGCTCTGTATTCTAGAAACTATAAAACTGTAATAAATTTAGTGTTAGACTGATGGGTGCTGACAGAATAAAATACACACTAGAAATTCAACATAAGATCTTACAAAGAGGTGGAATATTTTAATAATCTTGATCCTGCAGTATTATTACCGGGGGAGTGACTTTAATTTTACCAGGACTATCTGCTTAAGAACTGGCAGGCATATGTCTGGTGACTTTGAATGTGGTTTGGTTTTTTTTTTTCACTGAAACAGACTACATTTTGATCTGGGGAGATGTTCTCTGGAAGTTGCATGTGGATTAGTTATACCTTAGCATTTTATGTCAGTATTCTTTATATTAGTAATACCTGAAATATGTCCAACTCTGAACTGCTTTACTTTTTAAAATTTTCCTTCTTTTCATTAGGACATGATTCCAGAGCTCTTCTGAGATGTCTGTGTATGCTTCTGTGTCTATTTTGCATAATAGCAACATTTTATGTTGCTGTTTGTATTTACCATTAAGCATTTAACATTTTAAAAACAATCCTGAGAGCATAAGAGGAAGGTTTATTTTCTGAGCATCTATTATGAAGATTTTGACATCTGTAGCAGAAATAATATCCAGCAGGGAGAATAAAGATAGAATTCTGCTATCGAAATTGTTTTTTTCACTATGAGCTTATTTTCATCTGGCGTTTTTAAGAGTGCTTCAAATGAATGCACACAAGTTCAATTAAAGACAATAATGTCCTCTATCCCATTCAGTAACCAGCTGTCAAAAACCTGCTGGATATTATTAGTAAATACACAGAAAGATGAGACAGGAATGTTTGTTTCTATGGAACAAATGCATAACTACTGGCTCTACTGAGACAGTGGCTTACAGAGAAAATCAGGCAATGGGAAATGAGCTCAGCTCTAAGATGCTGTCCTAGTAACTAGTGAGGGAAAGATCAGAAGAGGAAAAAATGCTGAAAGAAACAAGACAGAAGGTGAAGGATGAGATCTGATCCATCTACAATCTCACCTTCTGAGCACCAGCAAATGCATGGTAGTAACAGGAAACATAAGTCATAATGGCTCTTTCATCAGGTCTGGCAGTGTTTACTACATCTGTGTAGAGAGAAGAGGGTTAACTGCTCAGAAATTCTCACAAGGTACTTCCATCAGATTATGCTGATGATGCCACCTCAGTGCTGTAAGGATTCAAAACAAATACACCATAATCCAGGTGGCATCTGTTTCTTGATACCAGTGCAAAGCTACCTGAGCTTTAGGAATCAGTAAATGGAAAAGATATAACTCTCCCTGAAATGGCAAAATATCTGAAGGCTGAGACTGTACAGAAAGGTATTGCTACCTTCTGGCTTGTGGAAACTTCCAAGCAGATGGCATGGCTGGCAGATCTACTGGGTTCAGCTTCACTGTCGCTCCAAACAACCTCATCTAAAGCACTAGAATTATTCCAGAGTTAAACACAGCCACTGACAGTCACAAAATAGGAGTGAGTTCCCATGACTGACAGGGTATTGACATCTATTGGAAGACTGTGGAACTCCTGCAGTCCAGAAGTACATTTTGTGCTAAGAAAAGCTTGGAGAGTAACTGTTTCGCAATCTCTGAGCCAGTCTGTCTTTTTAGTTAAAAGCATAAATCACAGAAGAGTTTGGCTTGCCTGGCTGATTGATAGCTTTGTCTCTATTATGGCAGGGAAGAGTAAAAGTATAGAGGGGGTGAAATCAAGGTATGGGTACATTGGTAAAAATGGACCTTTTCAATACTTAACAGAGAAAGGCAGAAAAAGTGGTTTTACACCAATTACGGCTGAGTGATGAATGATGCTCGTGGATGCTGCAAGGATTCCTGCCAATATAAGGAGTGTGAAGATACTGCTGTGAAAAGACCCAGGAATGAGGTGACAATTTCTAATATTAAAAGTGAGATTTCTAAGTTCAGGACCAATATATTTACTGATTTTGCATCTACTTCACAAAGTTGTGAACAAAACTTTGCAAAGTTTCCACTGAGAACGCAGTGGAAGTAAAGAAAGTAAAGAAAGTGAAAAGTGATGGTGAATACTTAGAGTGTGTTAGAAGAAACATGATTTCAACCCCTCCCGCCCCCGCCAAGAAGAATAGTAAGATATGGGCTAGAATGTGCAGAAAATCTGGTGAGAAGAGAAAAAAGTTTTTTACATTATATGTGAAGAGAAAAAAATAGAAAAGGAGAAAATGAGGTGTTCAGTGGTAAGGACGTAGCACTTCTGTTTATTCCTTGCACAGTATTTCAGAGTAAAATAATTAAGTGGTGCTTGAAAGGTGAATTGCAATTCAAAAAGTTAAAACAACTGTTTCTGAAGCACTAAGGTGAAACCAAGAAACCTCTTCAATGAAGAGGTTACAACCTGGATTTTCCAAATCATCCTGTATTAGCCTAACTTTCCTACTAGAGACTTCAAGTGGAGAAGACACAATGAGTTTGAGTGCTCTGGATAATTCCTGTGTTATCACTGCTCTACTGGCAAGCCACCAGAGCAGAGCATGCATACGTGGATCAGAATGCTTTGAACTAGTGCAGGCAAACTGCACTATTTTGGCACCATTTTTTTTGCCTGGAGTAAAAGACTTTGGTTATCTTGAAGAAATTCAGAAAACTTTCATAAATATTTCCTTGTTATTTGTCAACAAACTCTAGATTACAGGAGAAACTGAACATGAAACTATTTGTTAAAACTATCACTGCAAAAGGTTTACAATTAAAATAAACCTCAAAAAATGCTTATCTCAACCTAGCACTCTTTTATAGGAGGCACATTGTTAGTATATTTTGAAAGTTCTGTACTTCTATTTCTGGCCCTCTCACTTAAACATTTTAAAAAGTGAGTATGCTTTAAGTTGCTAACAGTTGAGACTTAGATTTTAATTTCCGAAAGGCAAGGATTATCTTTTGATCCTGCATTTTAACTCATTTATCACAGTGGGGCCATGTGCTGAGTTTAGGGCCCAAAGCACTATAATAAATACAAACAGTAACAAACAATAAGGAATGAAGCAAAAAGTGAGTGAAATTATCCAATACATAGGGAACAAGAAGGAAAGCACTGTTTGAAAACAAAGCAGGCTGCTCCGTTATGATTCATGTGGAAGGAATGTTGAAAATTTGCTTAGATACAAAACAGAAGTTTTACTGTCTCCTGCTTGTAACACAAATTTCAGTAATATATAACTCTCACCTTCTGCATCCAGCATCTTAGGGATATCCAAATGCTTTTCAGCAATTTCCATGGCAAGGTTGATATTTCCTATGGGGTCATCCTGCATTAAGGAAGAAAATACAACTAGTCAAAGATAGACATTTTTCCTTGAAGCAAAACTGTAGTAGGTAGACTAAAACTTACTCCATTTTTCCAAACTGTAAACTGGAGTCGCAACTATTGTTCTTCGAAAAGCAGAGTCTAATTATATGAACTTTTGGTCTATTTACTGCTATACTTCCCAAAGAAAACAGTAATATGCTGTTATATACCACCAGAACTCTGCTGCAACTATATTCTGGAGCGAAACAGATAACGTATGCAGTGTACACTCATAATTCTGAGCTAATTCTGAATGAAGTACAGCAGAATTACATACAGTCCAGGCTGCTGGTCCAGTATGCTACACTAGACTGTTTATCACAGAGTTAGTCCTGCATGGTTTTATACCTACTGTATGTTATATTACAGTGAAATCTGTGAATATCTGCTGAGTTCTCTGTTGGTCAGGTGCATGCCTGAGAAGGAGCAAGCACAGACAGAAGAACAGTTCACCACAAGGAGCAAAACCTCCCAGTTTTGGCTTGAACAGACAAATCTGTAATGACTCTTGAATTTTAGAGCTGTGGAAATTCAAGAACTTCCTCTGGTTGAGATTTTGATTTTGTTTTTTGAAGGAAAGAGAAAGGAAGCAGTGAGCACAGTTCAGATAAACAGCAGACATTTCATGTCTTACACTACAGACAGCTCTTACTGACAATGGAAGAGTGTGTCAGATTAGGGCTGCTCTTAATGCAGCCTTCTTGTATCAACTTGGAGAGAAAACACCCTATATGAAATGGCAGCTCATGCCATCAGTGCTATTATTATTTTCATGTATTCAGAAACTGCTAAATGATCATAGCCACTCTGAACAATAACAATGTCTAGAGAGAGGGGCTGGGAAAATAGGACACAGAACAGCAAAGTTAGAGATGCTGGAGGGCACGGAACAAATGTTAACAGGTTTTCTGTAAGGAATTTCAAGGGCTTCCATTTGAACACAAATGTTTCCTACAAAGGGATCTAGTCTCAGTCATGCTTCTTTTCTTACTTTTAAATTAACTTAGTAAGATTACTTACTATGGAATCACACCAATTATTGAAGTTTCCCAGAAGTCTGTTCCTTATGCATGTACAGATGCCAGGTATTTTAAGTAGTAATGCCTATGACACATCTTTCTATAAATATATCATACTAGATAGCCTTTCCTTTAAAAGCTGCATGTTCAATAAAATCTTTTATGAAGAGTTTACATTTTGAAACCTAACAAGCTGTTCTCAAACAACCATCATTTAGCAGTTTTGTGCGTCATTGGCATTAAGGGGAACTTAAAAGGTGGACAATATTTAAAACCCACTAATTTATTTTTGCTATTACACAAGACAGCATGTGTAATACAACATTTACTAAGTGTGTATACAAAAACTTACTGAAATTAAACGGGACAAAAATTCACTAAGTCTAAGTGTGACCTATTGTCTAGGTTAAAACAGTTTGCTCATGGATGAGTGATGAGCACCTCCTATTTGTGTGCTTGGTACTAAGTCCATCAGTAAATTGTGTTCCATCGGTAAAGGATTTGTTTAACATCATAGAAGCTTCTAAATAATTGGAGATCTCCATCACTCATCCTCTTACACGTAACTACAAGCCACAGTAACTAAAAATCTCTGCTACAGCTAAAGAAATACCTCATCTAACTTGTCATAGTCAAGAAGATCAGGCCTGTGTCTATGGATAAGGGCGCTGAAAGCAAGGCCATCTTTCCAGCTACAAGTTCACACAAAACACATTGGTGAGAAAAGGAAAAGGGGAGCATGCAGAGATAACAAACTAAGAAACAAGACACCAAGACAGCTGTTAATGTAACCAAAATGAGCAGTCAATCAAACACAGCCAGGTCAGAAAAGCAACATCTATTTTAGGATTTTTCTGCATGTGCTTTACGTGCCACAGCTCAGCCTTAGTTTGAAACCTGACCTGTTCTTATTTTGGAAACCTCTAAGAGGGAAATAGTAATGCTGAAGCAGATCTGCTTTTGTTCTATTCCCTTTTCTCAGCACTCATATATAGGATAGTCATACTGTGAAGTTTTTTAGTACTGTGTGCCACTTTTCAAAGCACAAACTCAATCAGACTAACTTCTGTTTGTGCCATGCTTAAGCACATGTACACAGAGATGGGTAGCTCAGTCATTCCATGAATCTGTTTATCCAGAGGAAAGGTTGTGTATAGGATTAGACAACAAGCTGGTGTTGATGGCTATTATTTTGTCCTTTGGTTCAGATCTGCAGTTGTCTTAACAACTGTCTAAATTAAAATCTTACGTGTTTAGGAATAAGTTAATTTAGTTTTCATCACTGCACACCTCGGGGACCCCAACATAAACTTAATGTAAAGTAGACCAAATTTTCAAATAATTTCATTTAATTCATTTATGTTGCCCCTCATCAAAATCCTTCTGATAACAGTTGATTCCACTAGTAAAATCAATTTGTAACGGAAGGGCATGGAATCAAAAATATAGTCTACAATTTACCAGTCTCCCTCATCAATGAAAAGTTGCACTCAACAAATTAAAACCATGATTAAGTTTTCTGTTTCACTGGTGCTTACATAAGACCTCGAGATACATTCATTCCAGAGAGCAGAATACGGTACATATGTATTGAGAGGTAATGTGAAACAACATCATTCCACTTTCTTTCTAGGTTTTGTTCTTCAGTAATGATACCCAGAAATTCTGACATTATTACTTGCTCCTCGTTCCTCTTCTCAAACCAAAGTGGCTGGTATCTTTTAGAAAAACACACATTTTGCCATGTGTAGCACACTGTAATAAAATAGTTTTGTAATCCCCGTGAGGTACTACCCAAGGAAGTTAGGATGTCAGTTGTTTCCACTTGTCTGCAAGTATAGGTAGAAATATAATCTAAGAATTGGCAAATATTTTCTATGTAAGACTAGTAACTTATTGTGTACTCCTGATTACTAAGGGTAGTGTTTGTTCTATGGAATTTTAGGATTTATCATCATTCCAATGTTTACTTCTCTGCAATCTACGCTCATTTACACCAGATACAAAACAGGATGAACTCTACAATACTATCAGTGGTGAATGGAGAACTCCAGTGTATTTGATCTAACATCCATATCAACCAGATTATTTGCAATTAAATGCTGAAGTCATTGTAATGGGAAGGAAAGGAGGTCACAGGACATTTGTGAGGTCCTTTCCTCCATGTCACTGTTTTTTTTGAAGGGAACTTAGAAAGAATTAGTATGCACTCCTCAGCTTGTCTTTTAGAAAACATGCTAAGCAAACCAAAAGTGAGTCAAATCACAGCAGAAGAGCATGCTGTACCACCCAGACTGATGACCTTATTTAGCTTGGAGTAGTCAATAAGATCAGGTCGGTGTCTGTGGATAAGTGCACATAATCCAAGGCCATCTTTCCAGCTTTACAACAAAAAATAGAATGGAAAAAAAAAATAGTTAATAAAGTCATGGCATTTTACACTTTGATCCTTGCTCAAGGCTTAAAATCAAGCAGGAACTCTCCTGTCAAATCCTGAGCTTATGTTCTGTCAGCTCTCATCCCTCTGAGTTTTTCTGTTACTGTACTCTTTTTTTCCCGTAGTACTTATTTTACAGTTCATACACACTTAAGGACTCTGTAATACTTTCTAGGCAGTGTACATTATGTGCCACAGCTCCTGATTTCCATTGCTTAATTTGTGCAATGGTCCAGGATAGCTCAGAGTACACATTCATCAATGAAAGTGCATAATCTCCTATTACACTTACAGCACATTTGCAAAAAAATAAAAGAAGATCACACCTGCAGTTACTTGAATTTGCTGAAGCAGTTGGCTTTTTCTGTGTCAGTTATTTCAGACAATTTTAATGGCACAACCATGTTGTGCTCACAGAAATAAGAAGTCATAAATCAGCTTAGTTTACTTAAAACACTTTCACACATATGACAGCTTCAATCTGAACTCTTACACTTCAGTGTGACTTCAGGCCCTTTCAAGGCAAGAATAGGCAATGAATGGAGCTACAAATAACATCTATTTGGAAATACTATGAGAGATTCCTTTCAGCCAGAAGCATTTATTCTGAAAGATACTTTAGGTAAACACTTTAGGCAATCACTGGGACTGTGGGTTTGAGGTCTTATCCTGTGCAGTAATTGTGTGATACTAAACATGCTAAGACTGTTAGAACCTCTGTCACTGAGATGTCTGGGTAGATCCTTCAAATAACAGAACCATCTCCAATAAAAATGTAATACCATTAAGCAGAATATACGTACACTGTATAATGTAAAATCATCCAGAAGGTAAAACTGAATCAAAATGAGCACCAAGCTAACAAAAAACTTTTGTCTAAAAGGTATAGGTTAAACCAGGCTGGACAGCCCATTGTAATGTAGTTCTGTATGAGCCAATCAATCCAAACTTTAATCAAGGCACTTCCATTTGGGATGTTTTCCCCATACCATGTATCAGACCAGCATATTTATGTATACACACTACGAGGCTGATACGGTAACTTACAGTATATCCTGCATCCATATGAAGTTCTACTGAAATATACCTCTACATATTCAAGGAAAATAACATGTAATAGATTTCATATCTCTTAAAGGCAACAGAGGGACTGTAAATCAAATTCTTTTTATCTGTGGAGGCATGTGTGAACCATATCTTCCCTATCACTATATGCGCTTTAGGTGCTGCATATTAAGAATTCATTCAAAACACCAAAACACTGTAATACAGAGCTCTTGCTATAAGTACTATATGGGTTTCTGGACAGGCAAGATCACATGGTTTAACAGTGCAAATGGCAAGTCATGTAGTTTAATGGGGTGGGTCACTGGCAGAGCTACAGGAACTAACCCTGTGAAATCCCAAAAGCAGGCAGCCTGCATATGGCTTGGGACTCCCCTTCTAGCCCTTAATGAAAACACAGAACCACAAGGCTGGAGCTTCACTAAATTTTCCAACTTAGGTAATGATCCTGATTCTGAAAACAAATGTGTTTCAAGTGCTAGTGTTGCATACTGAGCGCATTTTTGGCGAGTGCATTTTTGGCTCCTTATTTATAGTTACATTACAAAATAATAAAGACTGATTCATCATAATGAGATATTTGCATGCTCAACATTGGTATTTTTACCAAGAACAGTCTATACCTACAGTGGCTCTTATTTGAAAGCAGTCATTTGCCAAGTCACTATGCTGCAGTACTTAGATATTCCCATATAGCAAGGACCTCTGATAGTGTAATATGGTCATTCTGTATGTATCAGGGATTTTTTCTTTCACATAGTAACTATGGAAGCCATGATAAATAATGTCAAAGGCTAACCAAAATAAGGCTCTGAAGATAGAGCATGAGAATTTGAAAAAAAGTCTAGCTAAGTGTGAAGAATGAAATTCTCCTGTCAAATATATACCTGGCCAATGGTGGGAAAAATTTGACCGCAAGTATTTTAGACTGCTTCTACTCCTTGAAATAATGGAAGTTTACCTAAGATGGAAGTTCTGAATGTTCACGTTTCTGTAAGGAGCAGTTTTTCTTTGACACCAGAGCAGCAGCCCTTCTTTGGCAGAGGTCTCTGTAAAAGACACCAGGGAGTAAAAAAAGGAAAAATGTAAAAAGTGCTCAAGTAATTAATTTCTTGTTATCTTAAATGTGGTCAGACACCTGAAACTGGTTGGCGTAAGCCAATATTTAATCCTAAAAGATACTCATACATATGGGCTAATGAGGCTCTACTAGGACACAGAGGTCAGCTCGACTGGAACAACTCAGACTAGAGTCTCAGCCTGCACAATAATTCTGGGATATTAAAAGTTTAAGAAATTATACTGGTTGGATGGCAGGATGTATATTCAGAGCAAAATACTCAATACAAATATAATAGAACTTGACATAAAAGACTGTGCTGGTGCCTACATGAAATATACTTGTAGTCGCAGTCCATGTGCTTATAGGGAGGTATAAGTGCTGAAGAAATACCTTCATTATCTGAACCTTATGGGCGTCTGTATGCTTAAGTAAAGGGCAGAAATGATCAAATAGACTATTAGGTCCACATTTAGTCCCAAAATCATGGGCAGGACAACACATAGAGCTTGAATTGACTCTTCTTATGTTGAAAATTGAGATTAGTTTCTCGAATTCTAAACTTTTCACAGTATAGACTTGTTTTAAAGAGTATTGTAACTGCAACACACTTTTTGGAGCTAGTTACCAAGTGAAAGTTAAGAAAAAAAAATCTTAAGCAGTGGGGGAAAAAAGGTGGTAGAAAGAAAAGGGATATAATCAGATAATATTTGCAAAGAATGTGAGAAATGGACAGTACTAAAAAAGTATGTTGGAAATAGGAGCACCGTACAGGGTACAGCAGAGTTTCAGGCCACTAAAGCTCAGAAACACAGACGTGTTCCTATCTCCATAACCGAGAGACATGCCAAGAGCTCCTGCATTTAGAAAGCTGGCTCGAGGTCTCTGTCAGGATATAGAGAGTAATTACTTTTTCCCTCCAGAAATCAATTTTGTCACTCGGTAGGGAACTTGCAATATCATTTTCTGTGAGAAAATAATTAATTTTTAAAACACTCATCTCACTTGTGCACAATTCATATAAAAATGTCTTTAAATGAATTTCCTATTTATTTAACATAGTTGTGTCACTGTTACCTTCCACTGAAATATCCTGAATAGCAAAGCGAAGGATGATAGTCCAGATCATACCCAGTGTCATTTTCACATTGCCATCAACAATTTCTAAGGTGAAAAAAGAGACAGTAGTAGCAATTAGAATGTGTTTTCCATTTTATATTATTTTAATCATATATTTCTATAAATAATATAATGTATCTAATAAATTTGTTATATTTCTACCATAATTCTTTATCTACACAGAGTTCATCTGGGTTCATTTTTCAACAAACTCACGCTTGTGCTACCCTGACAGTAGGACTGAAGATTACTGAGATTAAATTTACTTCAGCCTTTCCATGCCAAAAGGCTTCTCTCCAGGTACTTGTAACTGTCTCAAATCTCTGCCTTTTAGGCTGACTTTTTTAGACAGAATCTGAGGGGAAATACTTATTTAAAATTTGAACAATATCAGCCTTACTATTTTCAAATACAAAGGAACTGGGAAAAAATATGGTCTTACCCCAAATTTTAAGAAACTACAGGACATTAACAGTATTATTTTTTAATAAAATGGTACTCAGAAATTCTGCTATATTATTTGGGCCTTTTTCAGAATTTTACCTATAGTGCCAGCACAGACTAGATATGAAGAACAGCTCAAGAGACACAGCACCTCCTGAGACTAAGCTACATAGCTTCCTGCCAAGCAGTTCAGAAACACGGCCATGAGGTTGTAATGTTTTACAGCTCTGATGCCTATGCACATTTATGTATCTTTAATATAAAATGAGATTTTTGACCTCTGAGGTTTCAATTTGTTTCAAGACTGCTTGAGTCTACCTACAACACAGGGCACTAGGAAGGTGCTTTCTCCAACCCTTCTCACACAAACAAGGGAGTCCTTTCTGCAAGCCAAGTCAGAATCCAGTGCTCCTACATTGTAATATGAACAGTGATATCACTTAAATTTCCCAACACCAGAAAAAGTACTGCCGGACCACTTAAGTGTGGTAATAATGTTAAATTAACCTGAAAAGTACGGTGAGAGACTCAGAAGAACACAACTGAGACTATAAGGAGGGTCCAGCACTGGAAGGGGCAGAGAGGGGACAGCGAGAGGGGGGAGCTGCAGACTGCCTTTCCAGTCACCTCACACCAAAAGAGCAGTGGAGCAGGGAAGGCGCCAGCTGCTCCCCTACTTGAAAGTCACCGCCAGCCTTCCTCAAAAAGTGAAGCAGCTGTGGCTGCCTGGGGACCCACTGGTCTTCTGGGGAAGGAGCAGGAGAAACTTGCAGCAGGAGAAATTTCCTCAATTTAATGTCTAATGCCCATAGAGGTGCCAGAAGAAAATGCCGTCATTCTGCTACTTAAAAGTTGCCTGAATCCAGGGGAAACTTTTATATAACAAAGCAGCTGCCAGTTCTGAGACTCGAGATGCATGTTGAATTGCAGTAGTATGTGACACAAACTGTCATTTGAACCTATGGAACTAACAAAGGTAGTAGGAGATATGTCATCCATCACTAGTCTATACTTACTTTGCTAGTGTGAATATCCAAGTTTATATTTTTCCACTTTCCCCTTTGGGTTCTATACTAATTTTCCAGAATTCTTACCTCACTTCGCTTGCCTTCCATGCTTTATTACTCTCTTATTGGCCCTGAAAAACCTCAAGTGCCTTCAAATCTCAAAAAATAAACTCTTTCAGCCAAAAAAGACCAAATGGCAATTAGGGCATGTAGCTATTCCCCTCTCCTCCCTCCTTGTCAGTCAAGTATTTAATTGTATTTTGATCAGATGTCTGATATGTATATACAGTAAAGAAGCAATTCTTCAAATGTAAAATAAATTAATTTAAATACTCAGGAGGCATTGCTGATTGTCAGGCAATCAATACATGGATTTTCATAATCACTACACTGTTGTTTTGATTTACATAGCTGTACATACACACAGACAGAACAAGAGAGGAAGAGAGGGAATTTTCTGTGTTGTGCCTCAGGAGAATTTTCAAGCAATTTGCCAGCTTTGGTTTCTCATTATCTCCTGCTAACGTAAAACACACAAAAGACATGTATAAAAGACAAGGGAAAATACGTAAACAGAAGTAAAAGAAAGTTGCTAAATGTTGAAAAGTATCGGTAATGAAAAAAAATACTGACTCATTCCTAGCATTGTCCTCTACAGGCCAATGGAAGACTTCATTGTTTTCTTCACACTGCCTGCTTGCTCTGGAAGGAATACATTTCCTGCACCTTACATATGCAAAGCTACAGCTTTCTGGGGAAAAAGGTCTTGCTGACCTATGAGGACAGAATAGAAGGGAAAGGGAAACAATAAAAACTGACTATGGAAAAAGCTAAGCAAAACAGTGTGGCAAGTTCCCAAAGGTTTTGGCTTCATTTTTTTATTCTGCTTTGCCTTGATTTATTTATTTTATTCTAACCTTGTAGCAGATTCACAGATCATTTGGTCTTTAATATTTTCCCCTGATCCCAGAAAAGCAATACAGAAGTGTTTCCTATTAACAGGATACTTATCTTTTGTGAGTCTCCATATCTCAGTTCCTTTCATTCAGGATGCAATTACCTTGCAAATAGAGTTACTGAACTTTTTTAAATCTTAAGGGAAAACTTCTAACTCCTGAATTGTGAATGGCTCATAAGCACTACTTTTCACAGCTTTTGCTTTAGCTTCTGGACTCTCTAGTCTCATTTCATCGCCAGTGGAGAGAAAGAGTCTTACACAGGACAGATCAGGGAAGCTAAATTTCGCTTCTGCTCAGAATCACAGTTAAAGGTGATCACCTCTGTCCTTCCACTACACAGATAGCCCAAGGAAGTCAGCCTCAGAACAGTAATGATGGCTTTAAAAAATATCCCTGGCCCCTTAAAAAAACTAAATTGAACTTTGTACTGATGTCCCACAGGAACTGCAGTCTAATCTTTGTTTTGAGACCTCATTTTAAATGGCAGTTGGTTGCCTTGGGCCTACATGCTCTTCACTGCTCAGCACATCAGATAATAAAACATGATCTTCAGCAGTTTTAGATACAGAAATTTCATGCTCTGGAAATTAAAAAGCATTTCAAGCATCCACGTAACTCAGAGAATGCAAAAACAGATGGGTGCAGATAAGCCCATGTGCCCCATGCTGACACACAGGGGCAGTGAGTTAAGGGGTTAAGGACACTGATAAGAATACAAGCTTAAGGAGCCTGTGTTCTGCCTCTTTGCTGGCATTCATTCCATCTTCATACTATAATGACTGCCCAGTCAACAATGCTGAAAAAATCAAACAACAACAACAAAAAAGGTGAAGTGTGTTTTAAAACCAGATCAGATTCCTGATCCAGTCTCCAGCATAGCTGCAGGAACAGTTGTCAGCGCAAGTGACAGGGTAGGGCTGTGAAGTGTGGGAGCAAGTATGCAGGACAGGGGGGCACAGCATGTACTGGTGCCAGAGGTCCCACACTATGAAACTATACCCAGTCAGATGCGATACTGCATTGCTGCATCAGCACGGCACTGTGCCTCAAATAACAAATTTAGTAGAGAGGATGCGGTAAACCTAACAGGGCACTACGCATGTCTGGGCCAGAGCTGGCTTTGTGTTCAGCCTGTTTAGAGTAGGAGTGGAAGGCACATGAATCTATCTGCTCCTGCCCACATGGATGTAATCTAATGTGTGTTAGCAGCCATACTTGACATAGTGCAATGTCTTACAATGGCAGGTTCCTCTCTGCATCTAAGCTATGACAGTAGTTGCAGATTTTTCTCTTGTGCTTCCATCCAAGAATTTAAAACCTTTTTTTTAATGCTAATGAATGATTTTTTTGCTTCTAATCCTTCCATTTTACAGATCAAAAATACCAGAAACAAGCAGTAAAAGTCTGCAGCACAGCCAAGCACATCACCTTAATCTCCTGATTTACTATCACCTGCTGTTACATGCAAGAAGAAACACTGAGTGCATGGACAGACATCATCTTGCAGCAACTGGCTGAGAAGCTGGAAGAGGTTACTGCCTCTTGTTCCTGCCTCCTTCCCAGAGGGAATTACCTATTATCACAGAGCATCTAAACTCATGCCAGTCACTGACAAGCAGGGTTAGTTTAAATGGTTTTAATGGCTACTCTGAGCTATCCCAGACACTTTGCCTTCAGGTGATATAGAACGTGCTCAAGCGCCGCTCCCTAGTCTGAGCACCCTGGCAGTAATGAGCAGCAATAAACAGGGCAAAATCAGGGAGGTGGGACTGCAGAGGGCTGGCCTGCTCCTTTCAGGAGCAGACATGAGCTGATGTATCTGTTTAAATACTACAGCCTTGCTTGAAGAACCTAAGTGTGAAAACATTAGCATGTTGTGCAAACTGTGATCAGAGACAACCACCACTCTGTCCCACAAGATACTTCTTTTGCTACACTCTCATTTTTGGTCAAGAAGCCTCAGAGTCCCAGCATGACATGACAGAAACTATCATTCATTTGTTCCAAACTCTGTACTCTCTATATTTCTGCACCAGCTATCAAGCAGGATTCTGTATTCTTAATTTTCATTTCCACACATAAATTGTCTCTTCAGTACCCTCTGCTGTCCATTCAATGCCATGTCGCTCTCAGAACAACCTTAACTGCAGAGGTTTAGGGTAGTGGCATATTTTTTCATCCCACTTCATTTAATTGAGCAAAGGGCCCAGCTGCCCCTGACTGCTTGTACAACTGACGGAGGGAGCCAGGCACTTCTGAAATGAAGTTGAACTCTTCTGAGAACTGAAGTGCCTTTGGGAATTGCCCGTTTCTCCCCATTGATTATATATTCCCCAAAAAAGGTCTCTGTTACGTGCCTAAAGATAGATGGTATGGATTTGGACTCAGATGGCCCACCCAGTTCCACCTCAAATGAATAAAGGGTGAGTTCAAACAAATGCTATGATCAGAGAACACCCACTTCTTGGGATTTTGGAGTTCTAGATCTAGAAACTGAACACATTTGTTAAATGATACTTGAGGAACTAAGCAGACTAGGTCGAACTGCAGTGGAATCAATGAATGCTGATTAATTTTGTCCGTTACTTCTACAGATGACCCTATTCCACGTAATGGATCTTCCCGCTCTGGCCACAATTACAGCAAGCTTCCTGAGAACAAGGTTTGGAGGCCAGAATAAGGACATATATAGACCTGAAGAAATCAGAGAACAGGAACAGAAGGCTCATAAATCGATCTAAAAAGGCCTACCAACATGAATAGAATATATCTAGTGCTTCTCACCATGAGACTGAGGTTATAGACAGAGTTTTGCTCTAAGGACTTGATAGAGGCTGCCCCCAGAATGGAATCAAAAGTAGTTGGATATCATGCTAGCCACCTCACTTCTTCGTATGGTAATGACTATGCAAAGCATTATGCAAATATCTCCATGGAGCAGCTAGTTCTAGACAGACCTTTGTCCTTTTTAAATAATTAACTGAATCTCATAGGAGGCATAGATTCACTTGCAGTGAGAGCCTGCCTTCTTTTGCTTAGAGTTTACATCTACCAGCATTTAGCTAGCCAACAGCATGTTTTTATATAACTACCCAAACAACAGAACAATAACAAAGTAATAACTTCAGTAACATCCCACCCCACTTTCTTCATATGTTCAGTCTCTCTCCAGCTACCATAATTTCCTTTGATCACTCCCTTAACTCTACATCTGAATTTTAGAAACACAGCTGCCATCCACAGTCAGTCTCATAATAAAATAGGAGTAGGTCCCAGCCACCTGATAGTGATATTAGCCTTTGTCTTGTCTGAATAATATCTCCTTAAAATAAAAAAATATCTCAGATTGGATAAAGCACACCCTAGAATCCAATCTGATTTCTAAAGGACTTCCTTATTTTTAATAATGTATAGGAAAATCGTAATGCCCTTCAAGAAGAAATCACAGATAATTCAGTTTAAACTTGGAGATAAACTGATCTTAGAGCACGTTTACACCCCTATCTCTCTCCAGGTGTCCACAAATTTCTACCTCTTGTCCTTTCACAGATATAGGTCAGCAATCAATATTAAGGGATTTTTCAGGCACCCACATATAGAGAACAGCTCGTACAATTTGGCCAAGGGTCTCTGTCAGATTTCTTTTCAATGTGAATGCCTAGGATTTGAGTAAGGTGCTTTTCAAGCTCTGTCACATACCTTCTGCACCAATTGACACAAGTTTCACTCCTTTGCTGGCAATATAATCCAAAGCTTTGTTGACATTAGCAATTTTATGAAAGCGCATCTTCCCTCTGTCTGGTTTCGGTAGTCTTTCCCCTGCAGAATAAGAAATTTAATGTGTTTACTGTTACGTACCCCTGGCTACAGTCACCCAAGTGATTAGAACTCAAGAGTGAATGTGCCCTGAACACTGTCTAAAAGTTAGCAGTTATTTTAACAGGTATTTTTCTGAAAGAATGTCAAATGGTTTTGAACAAAATCCTGAAGAGAAAATTCAAATGTTGGAACAGCCGACTCAGATCTTTCAGATATAGCAGTAAAACCAGAGTGAAATATTTATGTTTGCCCTAAACATCTGGAAGACATGTGAGTGCTTCCTGCTACTCAACTTCTATTTCATTGCTACTGTCTGCGTTAGAGTAGCTGAATATTAAGAAGGCAGGATGTTCTCAGAGCTCATCACCCTTACCTGCCTGACTCTCTCCAGCAGATCAGTCACAGCATCCTTCTTCATCTGACCAAGAACAATGGCTTTTAACAATCTCATCCAGCACAGCGGAGCAGCTAATTTCAGAGCACAAGCTGGTGTGTTTGAATGAACTTATCTTTTCAAATGGTCACACAGAAGAATAATTCCTGAACGTATGACTCTCCATTTCATGAAGAGTGACCATTTGAAGATCTTCTTTCCCTACTGACATGTCCAGCAAAAATGTAAACTGTCTTTTCCATAAAGACATCTTAAAAATGTTCTTGTCCTTTTTCACCTTTGTTGTGTGTCTGTAAATAGAGCTATTCCATTCCCAGTCAGGGATATTCTGAGTGTACCTTGGGAAACAGCCCTCTGAGTAACACACAAAGCAGGTGACATAGTGAGTTTACATCAGTTAGTCAAAAAGAGTTCTTAGATGTTCCACCTTTCTGAAAAATGAGACCTTCTACTTCTGGATAAATATTAATCTAGTTTTACTTTAGACGCTCACTTTTGAAAGCATTGGTCCATCCAATAAAGCCATTAAAAGCAAAGCAAAACTTTTATACTAAAATTGGAATAAAATTAATTTATAAGCTAAGTGTAAAGGCTTTTTAACTGTTAGGGGCTAAGACCAGGTCCTCAATGTCTGTGGTTTGTCCAACAAAACTGTGATGTCAGTGACATCATGATACACTGTGATATCCTGGAATACAAGCACATAACAGAAGATTTATGGAAAAATCAGAGCTTTTTTTCCCTCGCTTTTATTTTATGGTGTGTTTCATCTCTGACTTTTCAGCTTACTCAGAGTTTGTGTTCACTATTTGGAATTGTCAATAATTTTTGTTCTTTTAAGAGTATTTCAGTTAGCATGCTGTAAATACATAGCAAAATTTATTTTAGCCAACCTGAGATAACTTCCAAGAGCAGCATCAGTTTGAGGCCGTTTCTGAAGTCCTCCTCAATGTTCTCAATCTGTGTGCCTGCTTTCCTGAGGTGGGAGTTGCACCAGGCTGTAAACGTCTGTAATAGTAATTAAAAAAATGCTTATCAACAAGGCATTTTCCAAAAGAACTGCTAAGCCATCTGAGTAAACACTGCATCTGAGATTTTCAATACTGCCTTAGAAATTTGGACGTCCAACTCCCATTCATTTTATACATGTTGCTGAGTTCAAAATTCTTATCCCAGATGTTCATGAAGATGCAAAGAATTGCTTGATTAGAAGCAGTATTGTGCTATATTCTGCTCATAAACTCATCCCAAGAAAAAGATCTACACATAAAGGAAAAAGTACTTAGTGTAGTATTACTTAGTGTAGTATTACTACACTTAACATTTTATGAGCACATAATTTTATGTTGGGACTTATCTTTTACACATTCTTATTAAAAGAAGATTGCTATGGTACAAAGGAAGCTGTGTGACAGTAAAATGTAGGCAATACCAAACACAGAAGCAAAAACTTCTACTACCTGAATTCATGCCATGATAAACAGTTCTTATACAGATCATCTATGCCAGGGACAAATAACATGCATTTCTCACAGGCAGGAAGTTGTGAGAACACTCTTCAGGATAAAATAACTGAAGAGAGACTTTATACAGCAAGGATATCAGCAAAATTGCATCTTCTACTTGTAACTACAGTGAGAAACAGAATAAGTTTTGAAAACATGGACAATTAGAGTGGATTTTGAAAGTTTACAATAATTCAAGCACAGAATTTTCACATTCAGACCCTGCAGATATGGCCTGCCTTAACAAGGGTTTTATTTTTAAACTGTATTACATAATTTTCAGAAAACTACCACAACTTCATGAAAAACACAAATGCAGATACTTAAGTTTGCAGGGCAAAAATGGTCACAAGAGCAACCATGAGCATTTCTCTCTCCATGTAGAATAACCAAGTCCGCTTTGACTTGCAGACACGAAAAGCAGAACTCACTCCATTGATCTACAGAGGTCATATGCACATGACCTTTTGTATGAATGAAATCAAAACATGGGCTTCTACAAAATTTAGTAGTTAAAATTGGGCTGTTTTCAAATATCCATTAGTTCTCAGCCTTCTGACAAATTCTCCCTGCTTTTCAGTGTCTGCTGAGATATATAAAGCAAGTTTGTATTTACTAGGTATTTTACGAGGTATTTAACACTAGGTATGTAACAAGGACATATATTTTGATAAGTTTGACATCAGCTACTTAAAATTGTCAGATATATGGAATCCCTCTTCTTTTGCTATTTCAAACCACGATCATTTTAAAAAAATTTAATGTAAATAATTTTAAAAATAAAATATATCCTAAATCCCCATTGCCAATATGAAATTTCCTTTGGCCTTCTTTTTTCTTCCCTGTTTTTTCTGGACTATTTAATTTCTGATATCTCAGAAACAGAATAAGAAAGGCCAGTAGATGAAGGCAAAAACTTCCCCTGGAACTGAATCTTGTAACTTCTAGACAGATTTCTTAATTTAAGAAGATATGTATTTAATTTTCAAAAATGGTCTATACTTAAAAATGCAACTTTCTGTTGAAGAATAACATTTTGATTGCTGTTGGGTTTGACTCAATTTATGTGAAGAATTTATATGCAGCTTGCTGGGCTCTTTTCTCAGAGCCCCTACAGTGACAAGGAGCAGCTTGCTAAACTTTAGTTTTACCAACTTCTCCTGTTCAGTAGAAAGGAAGAAGCAAGAAATGCTAAGGATATGGGGGAGCTGTGCAGTGAAATCCCTAATTCAAGATACCCAGAGAAAGGAGGATAAAGAATACGGTAATGGAATTGGTTTTGGGCAGGGGTCCTGTTGACCTGCAGAGGATGAGTTGCAGGTAGAGGCGTAAGAAAGTCATTCTTTGTGTACATATGGAGATAAGCACAGCTGTACCTGAAGTCTCTCTGCAAATACATCAATTTTAATAAAGGGATGTTAGCTTGAAAAGCAGTCATTCAGGAAGGTAAAACTTTCCATTTTTTAAGGTAACTAACTTTACTGAGCTCATGGGAGACCTGAAACCAGAATGTATTGAGCATCACAACAGAGATACTAGGCACCTCTGCCCTTGGGGCTCAACATGATGGAGTCTTAGGATGGTATTTGGTTTAGATCATTATAGGGTTAGGAGCTAGTTTATAAGACTAATTTGTCTGCCTCATGCAGTATCTTGTTGTAGGGATATGTATTTAAAAAGGCTTAGCACCACCTTAAGCCATTTGCAAATACTAAAAATTATAACAAGCATCCTTGGAAGGAACAACATTATGGTAATACAGAAAAAAAAGCAGCTGAAAGCACTCAAGGGTAAATGTACATGAACCCTGCATGGCAATTTGGCAATAAATATTAGAAAGCTGAACCAGTAAAGGAATGAGCCTTTCATTAATTAAGTGATGGACATGTGTTTATCTGCAGATGCTATTCAGTTTGTAGAATTGTTCCAAGCACACCATGCTAATCTCCAAGGGGAATTTGGATAAAAACCTCAAGCTATTTCCATCTCTTCTTTTAAAAATTTATGGTGAATGTTCTGACCTTGTACCACTCAAGTAAATGAGTTTTCCCCATTTTTCATTTAATTAAGAGTTTAATGGCAACAACTCCACCAGTCGAGCAGTCTTAAAATACAAATCTGATTCCTACTGTGAATAAAGCTACTTCTCACTTAGTTTCTTAAGAAGAAATGGAACCTGGCACTTCTTAGTTGATATATGCATGTATAAGTGTATATATGTGTATATATATATATAAAAGCAAATTAGAATTTTGTTCACTGCTAATCTCACTGTGGTCCTCTACTCGGCCTCTATAACAGCTGATTCAATTTACTGGATGCCGCACTGATAGACACAAAACATAAGTTTTATTCAAAGAACCCAAAGTTTTCAAATAAATAGTTTCTCTTGAAAACAGACATTTTTATGGCACTGAATTTTCTGAGAGACAAATTCTCTTCTCAATCTTGTCCATTTTATGAAGACACTAAGCAGCCAACATTGCTATGATATAAACAAGGAAAAGATGCTACTGCTGCTGAGTCAAGCTGTTTTCAATATATAGTTTAATGATAGTCACTGGTTTTATGGGCTGCCTTTTTATATCTCTAGGTTATTTAAGATTCTCTCCAGCAGTACTGAGGTTTGTCATTGACACTGTAGCATTCTGAAGGATAAACTTGGAACTACCTATAAAGCCTCCATTCATGAGATAACAAGTTCTGCTGAAGCACTCTACTGTGCTGGAGTCTTTATTTACACTACCGGTATCTAGATAATTTAGATTATCTTCTATATCTAGAATACGATATTTAAATCTTTTATCTAAACTACTGCTTCCCAGAGCTTTCTGTTTTATCAGTGCACCAGGTCATGAAATGGTGCACTTACGACAGTCATCTTGTGCCTCATGGAAAGTGTCACTGCAGCACATTAGAGCAGACCCTCAGCGTGTGGCTCCATAGCCTGGTGTCTTCCAAACTGGCTTATTTTCCTGGAACTAAACATGGTTATATGAATGCTATTTAAGGAAGTGTTTACTGTGTTTCAGTGATGCAATCCGTAAGTGACTGTATTAAAGCTACTGCAAAACTTAACTTGCAAATTTTAACAGTTTCCACAAATCACATTTTATTTATCCCTCGTTCTTCTATTCTTATGGTGATACCACTTGTTCTCACTGCTTTGGCTTTAACTAACAGTTCTATTAATAGTTATTAAGAAACAATTCAAAGCACGTTTAAGTCTGGGGATCAAGATACAGCCAGCATATATTACCCTGCAAAATTTAATCCACTAGGATTTAAAAGCTATTAAATGACTTAGACAAAGCAAATTCCTTTTTCTGCTGAGCTGTACAGCACATTTCAGAGTATCAAGTTGCCCAGAGAAACAAGGCAGGACTGAAGGCACCAAGCCGAATACCGGGAGGGATACAAGTAAGTGCCTAGAAAGCTAGACATTTCTTTTTAGAATTTATTTACCATAGGTGGCTCTACAGATTTTAAAAATAAATAAATAAATAACTCTCCTTTACAAAGTTGTTACTACAAAAGAAACTTTGCTGACATTCTTAGATGACAGACCACAGAAGAGGGAATGCAGGGCAGGAAGCCAAACAATTTACAGTCCCACAGGTAAATGTTCTCCTAATGCACTATTAATTGTCTACTGCTGTAATAAGTCTATTTTGGAAAAGCTAACTCCAGAAAAGGGAGTGCAGTTTATGTTCTATGCCCACTTAGCCTCATTGTTAAGATTGCCAATAGCATATTCTCCATAATTTGGATTCACTGATCTGTGACAGCAAAGTGTTTACCTGAGAAAAAAGAAATCTTACCTGGTAATTTACTCAGGCCTGTTAATTTTACAAGCCCTTGACAAGTAGAACTGCAACCAAGGGGCAGAAAAAGGAGATATCCCTAATCAGTTATCAATCAACTGCAGCTAATGCCTAAAAATAACAGGGTATGCCCACTCTGTGCAAATATTTTCACACATGCACAATGAAGGATATGCTTTGATGGAAAAAGTGATATCTCTGAGAGCTGAATTGTCCTACGTTCCTGAGAAAGCCCTTTTTATGTGAGTGTAATGATAACTTATTTTTGATAGTGGTTCAAAGCCAGAAAACAATATGCTATAATAACAAATTTCATATGTGCATGTGATAATAGGGATAAAGAGAACTGAGAAAGTACCAGTTACCACCTTCTCCAATACCATTACCTATCTGTGGGTCACAAGACAACTTCTTCCACCTGCTGAAGATACAGGGTAAATTTCTAGTTTGGCACTGACAGTGAGTCCAAAATGCACATCACCAAAACAGCAGCAAACTGGGGACGTGCACAGGGGATACACTCCCCAAATTCTGGAAGATTTATTTACTTGCAATCAGAATTTGAGACATGGATCCAGCTCAATAAAGGACTGAAGACCTGTATCCTATTTTGTACATATATCTCATAGCAAAGGTTAACACTGTCTTTCACTCCCTCCAACTCAAATTAATTTCTGTC